GCTGTGGTCCCCCAGAGCAGGGCTGTGGCCGTGGGTAAGAGGGGCAGTGTCTCTGCTGGGTGGGGAGCACAGATCAGGATTCCTCACCCAAACCACAATTCCCAGCAAGTTTTGTTCCATCAGCACCCGCCTCCTTCATCCCCTGCTGCCCCTTGGCTTTTACCAAAAGCCTGTTTGATTTTGGATGGAGGAGAAGAGCCCAGCTGAGATGGGAGCACTGAAATGCAAAGGGAAAATGAACCCAAACCAATTAGTGATAGTGAAGACGAGTCACCAAAGCAGCAGCCACAGAATGGCTGGAAGAGTGAGCTGAGGAAAAAAAATGAGAATGATTGAAACAGAGATTTGTGCTGCCTATTATTTTTACTATTTTACAAATTAATCCAAATCCTATATAGTTCACTTGGACTTTTTCTACAGTTTCTCTGTCTCTCTGGTGCAGGCAAATTTTATTATAGTGATTTAGTCCCTTGATTACCACATCATTTTTCTATTTTTATTTTTTTTTGCCTTAAAATGAGGAGAAAATAAGATATAACATTTCTTCTTTGCTACTCATCAGATTTTTGTATGCTATCAACTTAAACCACACCTATTATAAATACACAATATCCATCATTTAAATTGGGTCAAAGTTTTTAAAATGCTCTGTAAGATTTTTCCATGTCAGAATAATTCAATCACTATCATGTTTCCTTGATGCAACCATTTTGGGATTTAGCTTGTTCCTTGATAGGGATTTAATTAAGCCATTTACATGTAATTTCCAAACAAGTAGCTGTTACAAAAGGCAGCAAAGAAATGAAAAGGCAAAAAAGGAACCTGAAGGCAGGAGATCTTTAACAAAAATATTTCTGATATAAAAATGAATCTGAGGAATACATATTCAGTGATAAGTATTCCAGTCCATGTCTGGTAAACTCTCAGATAATGGCAGCATGGTGGGGTCACTGGGGTTCTATTAGCTCAATTAATGAGGAGTAAGATAAGGCTAACACCCAGCTCTTCAAACGGCTCAAAAATAGAGCTGATAGTAATGGAGTTATTAACCTTCGCCAGCCATTGAATTTTACTGCTGATTCAAACTCCATTTCCTAGTTCAGGCCTCCATTAATAGGCTGTTTATTATCCCTAATCCACACTGGGATCAGCTGCAGAAATATGAAAGCCCCATGTAAAGACCAAGTAGTTCAAAAGGAAAAAGAAAATATTTTTTTCCCCCCATTCTGATTTCTCCCTTTTCAACATATTCACAGGTTCTTCCTCAGAAATTAGGAGCTTCATTATCCTAAACTGTTTGAATACATGTTCTCAGCAGTGTGGTGAAAAAGAAGCTTTAAATATATTGTGTAAAAAGATGACATAATTGGGAACACAGCCACATCATTTTGAAGACCAAATAAAACCCTGCTGGAAAGCTTGCACTGGAGAAGCTGTTGCTGTTTATTTTCTCTACTGGGAAAGAAACAACTTTAAGTTTGGAAAAATGGGTATTAGAAATATATTATTGCTAGGTCAATCCTTTAGCTCAGCTCAAACCTGGCTCCAACTTTAATAGAGAAATCTTGAGTTAAAGGCTCTCATTAGATCTCTGCTGAGTTTGAACTCACTCAACTGAGATTTTTGACACTTTGTAAATTTTTGCTATGTTTTCAGTCAAAGAGACAATGTTTAGTTACCACAGTTTATACACAGAAGATGTTCTTCCAAAATCTATCCCAGTAACATCTGATAGAATAACAGCCATTATGAGTGGTGGAGTTAAGATCAAAATAAAAATGCTTATTTTATCCACCTCCAGTACACAGTGCTGCCCTCAAATGCAATTCTGGGTGTCCCACCTCAGCAAAAAAAAAAACAAACCAAAAACTTGACTTCCCAGTGAGGGGAGGAAATGGGATGATCAAAAGAGTGAAACGATTTCTTGGAAAAAAAAAAATAGATAAACAGATCAAGGTTCTTTGTCTGGGAAAGAGGTGACTGAAGGGCAAATACAAGAGGCTTAGAAAATCAGGAGTATTGAGAGACATGACCAGGGAATATCTGTAAATGTTTCTCAAGAGAAGAAATGCACCTGGAAAAAAATTATGAAGTATTTTGATATGACACCCGGTGAAATGAGAAACTCCTTTCCATGTGATTTGGTGGAAGGTTAAACCCAAAGGTTTAAAAAGAGACTATAAACTCAAGGAAAAGGGGTGATCAGAAGTTTTCCAGAGGATCCCCTAGCTCAGGGAATCCTTAAATTTCTGGTTGCCTTAAGCTGGCCCAGCAGAGGAATGCTCAGGATCCAGCTGAAGGTGACAACCAGAGATTCACAACACGACTCTGCTGCTGAATCTTATTTTAACTCCAAGTTTGAGAGAGAGCAAAAAGGATAAAAAAAATACTTTGGTGGATATTACACTGAGTTTTCAGCAGAACCACCCATGGCTATAAGATACATTTCTTTTGTTGCTTAAGCACTAATTAAAAAAGCCAAACCACCCATTTGGGTGAGGAACCGAAGCCAGTCCTTTGTGTCAGCGGCTCAGAGCTTCACAGCCACCCTGTGGCTGTGGATTCCCACTCGGGTGGGCACGAAGTGGTTAATGGTAAGAAATGGTTAAATTTGAGTCCCAGCTGAGAGGCCATTAACAGCTCCAGCTCCTTCTCTGCCCTGGAGGCTGCCCCAGTTCAAGGGCAGCAGGATCCTGTCCACTTAGGCAGGGGCTGCTTCACAGGGCAGCTCAGAGAGCAGCTCCCTCCTCTCGGGCTCTTGGGGAGACAGGCTCTGCAGCTTTTCCTCTGCCAGTCCACCAGCAAACCCTCATTCTACAGCAAATTCTAATTTAAAGAAACCCCCTACTTTTTTCGGTGAAAATTGAATTATTTTCCTTTTTGTTCCACAGTAGTTCTTTGGATGCGGTAGCTGATGCTGTATCAGGTTTTTCTTTTTTTTTATTATTACATTTTAACAAACTTTATAGCCCATTTTGTTTGTTTTCAAATAACTTTATTTTCCTTCTTTTCTACCATCAATTACTAGGTTTGTTTTTCTTTCTGTAAGATGGAGGAGTCAGGAGACTGATCCTGCTCGATGCAGTATAATTTAGTATTATGTGTGGTAGCTTTATGAGGTGGGAGTCAGATAAAACATAGTATTTGAACACTAACCATTTATTAGCTCTAAGGAATAGATTTGTGACTTGACAAGCAGACAATAACTCTGTGTTCTGATCAGCCAAAGAGGTCTACTCTGAGTTCAAAAAGCAGAGTAACATTCTCTTTCACAAATAATTTTGTTTACTGATGTGACTAGATTTTAATAATAAACTTGATATATATGTAAATTTATTTTAATCTAATTTCATCAACAGAGCCCTCCTAAAAATGAGACTTTGTAGATTGTTCTGTGTCTGATTTATAGATTTCTGCATCCTATTCCCAGATTGATTTCGAGGTTATAATTCTATCAGGTTTTTCTCCTGATGTCAGAAACACCACCTCTGCAGATAGTGTTTTATAACTAGCATCACAACTGAAACTGAATTACTGCCCTGCTATCCTGTGCTGCAATGTGTCCTTTTGTTTATAATCACCCTCTCTCCCTCACATCCCTTCCACTTCAGCTTCATGGAAAATACCAGCTCTGAGATCAATCAGGGAGCTCAATGCCTCTTTCTGTCCCTCACTCCAAGCCCTGTATAAAACAGGGACCAAATTCTAAACTCAGATGTGAACGTGCAGAGCTCTTTAAAGTGCAGGGAGGAAATGGATCCGTGCTGAATTTCCACCCATCCAATTCTATAATGAGCTGCTCTTCCTCCCTTGGTGAGGTCTGGGTGCTGTGATGGAGCACACGGGGCACACTCCAGTATTCACACTGATCTCAGGGACTCACAGGGCTCAGGGATTCAGCACCTTCCTTCTAAATGCACAAGAAGAATAATCTGTGGGAAATTATGTTTCGCTGAGTCCACCACAAGTTTTGAGGTTCTTTCTCCATTTTTTTTCATGCAGTGGATTCCTGTTTAGGATGCACATGGTCTTACTTTGGATAAATAAAGTTACTGCTGTTTCTACACACTTCCCTTTTCAAACCTTGATGGATGACTGGCAGCTCCCTCCCTCTGCACTCCCCTCTATTCTCTCTCCTACTCAACCTCAACCTTTTCCATCCTTCTCCTATCCCTGTACAGGAGGGAATCCAGGGCAGTCACACAGGAAGAGTAACTTTGCCAAATTAAACGCTGATGTGGGTAGTGCACCTCTCCTACCAATATTTCTCAGACTAGAACATCCTCTTTGGAAGCAGAAAGGTCACAAATTTCCAGTGTTTGCCTTTGGAATGGCCACTGTGCCAGCCAGTGGGATGGACAGATCCAGGAAGGCCTGGGAGGAGAATGGAAAAGCCCCTCAGCTTTGATGAGTGCACCAGCACTTTAAATCCTCACCACCTTTGGACCAGCTGTGAAAAGTAACTCTATTTTATTTGCTTGGCACTCGTAACACTTCTCTTTGGATGCTGATGTCTCTCATATTACATTTCTGAACAATTCATTATAGCTCAAATAAAATGTAATTCTCGTGTTGTTTTTAATTATTTCACAAAACCCAAAAGTCTCATAATGAGCTCCTTGCAATACCAATATATTTCCATGGTATTATGTCAATGCTGAAGAAAGAAGATGTAGATCCCCCCTCCTGCTGCAAATAAAATACATATTCTCATATAATCCAAACTTTAATCCATTTCTTATGGTTTGGCTTCAGAGGCAACTCAAACAAATAACCAGAACAACAAACCTCTTTTCTCTCCCACAGTTTGGCCATCTGGAGCATTTGTCAGGCCAGGGCTCTATTTCCTCCTCTCCAGGAGCAGGACCCCTTTCCTCACCAAGAAAACAAAAACTAAGATGCAGCAGCACACAAAAAAAAAGTGTCAATAAAGATCTGTATCTTTCCACAAACAGTTTTTTCATCTCCACAGTGGTGTGATGGCTGGATTTCTCCCTTACCTGTTGGGATTAATCTGTGCTTTCTGCAGCTGCTTTCCCTGCTCCACGTCCCTGGGGAAGCCTGAGAGCACCCAGCCATTGCTCAGGCAGTCCAGGGCGCTCAGGCGTGCTGTCAGCAGCTTCAGGACAAGCTTGTCTGGCACTGCAAAGGAGGAAAAAGGTGACATTTATTCTGGGTGCAGAGTCTGCAGTGAAGGGAGATGCTCACAAGCCCTTCTGGAACCAAACCAAACAGTTATTCCCATTCAGGACTGACTGGCATTGGGCATCGTTGGCTCCTGCGTATTTATTGTCATGGAACCCCCAAACTCACAAGGAACTGTAGGACCAAAGCAAAGGATTTGATTTTGCAATGTCCTTTTCCCTCCCAGCCACACAGGACTAGTGGCACAATCCTATCAAAATGCAAAAACAATGACCCGAGCTGTGGAAGAAATCCTGAGACAGGAAAGGAATTTCTGAGGATTCTGGATTGAACTCAGCAGGTGATAATGGTTCTGCCACAACAGTCCACGTGTGCTCCAATCTACCCAAAGGCTTGAAGATCTTACAAATGAAAATAATTTTCAAAATTAATTTCAACAACCTTAACTACTGCATTGACGAACCCCTAATTTTAGAGCTAAAAGATGTTTTTTCTTCTTTATTATTTTTCTTTAGGGCAAGAGAGAATATCAGCAAGATACTGACTGGGATTTCAACTACTGTGGAGTTTTTAAATTCTATTTAATGGGACACAGTGGTAAGGAACTATCCTGCACATTTTCACTAGAGTCTTTATAAAGTGAAATACTTCAATTAAGGTACTTAAACTTTGGGGGTTTTTTTACCTTTTATAGGGAGGAGGGGAAATTATTAAGTTCAACAAGAGTGACTACAGATTTTCCAATGACTGCAGTCATGTCTTGGGCTCAGTGTCAAATAACCCCAAAGAAAGGACAGCAAAATCACCTGGAGCTGCTTCCCAAAGTAATTCCCAAGCAGCAAGGAGAGCCCCTTCCCTTTCTCTGCCTGATACACCAGTGCCTCCACTGAAAATGAGAGAGAAATTGCTACATAAATCCCCTCCATGGCAGGTTGATGTTTTGATGCTCACCCTGCCATCACATCTGCATACAAAAATACAACAACAAGTGCTTGTAGGAGAGTGTACGTGTCAGATTTCTAGCACTGCACTTCTCTTCAGGACAAGCTGACAGCAATCTGCCTGGATTTTAGCAGAGTGAATTATTAGCAGTGCACAGTTCTACCCCGAGAACAAGCAGGTTTTAAACTGCAATAATAGAATCCATTTGCTTCTGGTATTTAACATTGTAACTCTATCATGAAATTCGCGGCTTCTCCTTTAAATAATCAAATTACTGAGTTTACAGAACTGCACTCAGGATTCAATGTACCAGCAAAAAGAGAGGAAAACCGCAGGGAATTAATTAGGAAACAGATTAGTGTATTAATTGAGGATATCCACTTCACATTATAAAAGAACGAGTTAAAGAGAGTAATATTCTCCATCTGCTGAAAGGAGAAAAAAAAAAAGGAATGGAATAAGCCCACACACTTGATAAAGAGCAAAATGACCATGCAAAAACTGGGTACTCTGTTAAAAATGGGATTCATAAAATTTACTGCAACAGTAGCACAGCAGCAGGAAGGAATTCTATCAGATGGAAGCTTCTTCCCTGTCCAAGACCTGAGCTGCAGGCAGGCATGGGAGGGAGAGCAGGAGATTTTTAAGTGCTCTTTCCAGGGCAGTTGTCTCCCCACCCTCCAGCTTACAAGAATTAATACAAACCAAACACACCCTAGAAGGAATAAAGAGAAACAAACCCACCTTCTCTTTCCCAAAAATGCATTCCATACAAAGACCAGTGGAATTTTCCCCTAGTCCCGAATTTCTGGCTGCAGCACTAAACTTCCTTCACATGTGTTATTTTATGACAGTTCCTACTGGAATCACTGACGTGGATTTACAGAGATGCCAGCTGAAATGATTTTATCTTTTCATTTCAGAATGCTCAAACCAGTTTTGCAAGGAATTGGAACAAAACCTACAAACAATGAGTGGAGCTGCAGTAGGATTCTGGCAGCGTTGACACCCCTGTCAGATGAACAGGGATCGGGGCAGAGGCTGGAAGGGCCAGGAATGGCACAGAAAGATGGATCTCCTGTGCTGCTGAGCTTCCTGCAGATCCTGGGAGATTCCCCACTTCAGATTGCTTCCATCCTTCATATGGGAAGGAGAAACACTGCAGCCCAGGAGGAAATTAAACAGCAATTGTGATGGGAACCTGGGGCATCTCCTGGGTCTGAGCACTTCCCACAGCCCTTCTGTGAACCCTGGTGACCAAAATCCTCCACTGTGGTCACTATTTTGGAACAAAACTGAAGCAATCACACAAGGGGGAAAAAACTGAGATGCAGAGACAATGAATTAATAGTTTATCTAATGACATGCCAGGTTTGAGGTGTTCTGAGGGATGCTGGGGACACCTGACACATCTCTCCCTTCAGCCAGGACTGACTGCAAGACATCAGCAACACCCATGTACACATATACATCACTGAATAATATAGATGCTTACATATTTTCTGTGCCTCCCTCTAAAGCTTGATGGTGAGAAATAAAACATAAACAAGTCAGACAGCAAGCTCTGCTCTCCTCTTGATTAGCAAACATACCTATCACTTCAACACAATGGGGGAACAGAGCTTGTTGGCTGCTTGGTGGCATTACAAAGTACATCAGCTGCCCTTGAACAGGAACAGTCACACTTAAAACAGCTGCATTAAAACTGTAAAACATCTTCCACAGACCAGAGGGAAGGAAAAAAAAAAAAAAAGAGAGAGAGAGAAAAAAATCAGTATTATTCTTATTTTGTCATACAGACAGAGTAGGTAATGAAGAACTCTGCAGTACAGAATTCCTTTTCACTCATGTGGAACTGTCTCTGGAATGTAAGGCAAATTAATAACCTGTAATTGGAGGGGCACACAGCCTGTGAGGAACTAGCCAGAGGTCTCCTGGTCTTAAGCACATGACCCAACGGGCATATAGCAAAGTAAAATATAGAGATTTCCTGATGAGACAGTCAATCTACATGTTTTAAGGAGATTATGAAGCACAAGAGCTTTGAATAATCAATTCCTTTTCAACATAAGCTTGTGTGAGTTTCCAACTCTGAAAGTTGGGGAAATGAGACTCGAGAGAGATTTTACTTTATCATTAGAGAAGTCCAAACGTAAGTTTCTTGTAAAAATTACAATGTGCTGCTGCAAAGAGATATTCAGACTAGGTAAGGTGAGAGCACATCTCTATTAGGGAGAGAAATCGAGGCACAGGAGTAAAAGTCACCCCTCAGAAGTAAAGGTAGAGAGCCACTGAGCTGCAGGGATTCCTGAGAGCATCAGGAGCACAGCAAACCCCAGGTAGGGAAGAGCAGCAGAATGAGGCCACAACCAGCTCCAGATGGAAATGTAATTTGTCTGTGCCTACACCAACCCCACACTCCGTGTCTCCTTTATCTCCCAGCCTGTTTCACCACGTTAATGATCAAGACTACACCCCTGAATTGGCAGCTGAGGATCTAAGAAGTGATTTAATCATTTCAGGGGTTTGATCAGGCAGGGGACAAGGCTTAAAGTGCTGCTGCTCGTGCTGGAACTGCTGCATGGACACCCTGAGATTTTCCATCTCCAGGGTTGTAAATCAGCACCCTCCAGCAGAATGTTTAAAAAATAAATTCACTTCTCAGAGCTTCAAAGGTTTTCACAGGTATCAGGTGCTTCTCATGAGAAGTACGTCCTCCTGAAGCTCACAGGAGTGTGGCCTATTAGCTCTTCCCCAATCCGTGGATCTGCAGGACTAAGAAACCCGGATCAGGCAATCAGCTACAAAATCAGGCAATCAGTTACAAAATCACACCATCTGCTCCAGACAAAAGTAATAGAACATTAAAGGCACAGTCTGAAAGGGAAAAACACCACTTGAGAGATTACAGGGCACTATTCTCCAATAACTTCAATGCTGTCAGTGCTCCGAGCTATACAATTATCATATTTAAATTGATACCTCCTCCGTGTATTTCCCTTTAAAACAGACTTTTGAAGGGTATCAGTTCACTTCTCCAAACCTATAAAACCTTCGATTCTAGGTACAGCATAAATGCATTTACAGATACAAATTCTGTCAGCTTTGTGCTCTAAAACGTCCTTTTGACAATACTGTCCATCTATGCTTTATCCCACTTATAGAGGTATTTTTTTTAGCAAGGTCTGAAGACTTTCACAGCTAATTCAGATGCCTGAGGCTTGATCGCAGTAGTTGACAGTTAACATCTTGTCCTGAGTACAAGCTACTGCCAAATGCTACTTTCCTGCATTGTCCAGGACATCCCAAATCTAGTAAAGCATGAGATTTCCTTATTTTATTGCTCTAGAAACTCTGGATGATTCACAATGCAGAACTGGCTTTTTCTACTCTGTTTTCTTGCCCGCGTAAAGGCGCACAGAGATGCTATGGACTGAGATTGTATCAATTGGTTTTTAATGTGTTTGAGAATTATTTTGCAGTAATTTCCCGTCGCGTGGCTGATCGATAATTTCGGCTAATGCTCCGAGCCGCCGGTGGGTGAGGCCGGGCAGGGCTGCGTGCAGCCGGCTCGGGCACCGGGAACAAACACCGGCACCGGGTTCGGGACAGGGGATCGGCTCCTCCGGGGAGAAGCCTCGGGAGGCTCTGGCCCCACGCACCCCCAGGGCCCTGGGGACCCCCGGGGGGCTCTGGGTGGTCTCCGTCCCTGCACACCCGGCGGGGTCCCCAGTGTCCCGGGGGTCTCCAGCCCCGCGGTTCCGCAGGATCCCGGAGGTCTCGGGGTGGTCCCGGGGGTCTCAGCCCCGCAGGATCCTGGTGCTCCCGGGATGTCCCAGTGGTCCCGGAGCTGTCAGCCCCGCAAGGCAACCGGGATGATTCCGGTGCTCCCGGGGCTCTCAGCCCCGCAGGATCCCGGTGTTCCCGGGACTAAGAGTCCCGCAGGATCCCGATGTTCCCGGTGGTCCCAGCCCCGCAGGATTCGGCTGCTCCCGGGATGCTCCCGGGGCTCTCAGCCCCGAAGATCCCGGTGTTCCCGGGATGTTCCCGGTGCTCCCGGCATGTTCCCGGGATGTTCCCGGTGGTCCCAGCCCCGCAGGATCCCAGTGTTCCCGGAGCTCTCAGGCCCGCAGGATCCCGGTGTTCCCGGGATGTTCCCGGTGCTCCCAGCCCCGCAAGATCCCGGTGTTCCCGGCACGTTCCCGGCACGTTCCCGGTGTTCCCGGCACGTTCCCGGTACGTTCTCGGGATGTTCCCGGTGCTCCCGGTACGTTCCCGGTGCTCCCGGTACGTTCCCGGGATGTTCCCGGCACGTTCCCGGTGTTCCCGGCCCGTTCCCGGTGCTCCCGGTACGTTCCCGGTGTTCCCGGCCCGTTCCCGGTACGTTCCCGGCCCGTTCCCGGTGTTCCCGGGATGTTCCCGGCACGTTCCCGGTGCTCCCGGCCCATTCCCGGCCCGTTCCCGGCCCGTTCCCGGTGTTCCCGGCCCGTTCCCGGTACGTTCCCGGTACGCTCCCGGCACGTTCCCGGTACATTCCCGGCCCGTTCCCGGTATGTTCCCGGCATGTTCCCAGCCCGTTCCCGGCACGTTCCCGGTACATTCCCGGCGCTCCCGGCCCGGCCGGTTGGCTGTTCTCTGTCGCCACCCCGCGGTCACGGCGGGTAGCGCAGCCGGTCCCGCCCCGCGGGCAGCAGCGGCCGCGGCGCCGCCGAAACGTCGGGAAAAATTCGGAATTCGGGAAAAACGCGCCCGCTCCGGACGTGCTGAGGCTCCCGAAGCCCCGACAGCGCCGGGCTGCAGCGGGAGCACTGAAAGCATCTCCGGTTCTACCAGGTTTGAAGAACGGACAGCGAACACCGGCACCGCCGCGGGTCCGCAGCGCTGCGAGCACAACGCGGGATGAGATCCGCCAAAGTGACCGTTCCTACAGAAATCCCGTCTCCACTCGCTCGTCTGACACTGCTGAGAAGGGCTTCTGTAAGAATCGGACTAATTCTTTTGATACAGTAAAACAAATAATGCGATAAAATATTTAATTTCCACCTATAACGTATTTTTGCTTGTTAGAATATATTAAACCAGTCTTTCCTGGTTTTTGTTGTTCTAGGGTTTTGGGAATTTAAAATAGAAATTAGCTGTATTAAAGTGGAAATGGTACTATTCCTAAAGCAGGTACAATCCCAAATCGATTATATATAAACATAAACTATATGACACAAGATCAATTAAGACTTTTAGAAATTCCTCCTCATATGTATCAAACCAGAGATTCAGGAATCTACATCTAATCGTATTTAGTGATGAGATTCCAGCCCCTTACACCACTTTACCTGTTAGCAGCAAAGGAAATTCAGTCTAAACTGAGTATCCAGCATGCAAACAAAAAGCTTTTTTTCCCACTAAAAACCTCTGTGCTGTTTTTTATGGATTTGCCTGATGGCCGCGGCTCCCAGGGAATCCCAGGTCAGGATCCACACACTGGGTACCCACCCACACTCCCTGCCTGGGGCTTCTGCCTCAGTTTACCTGCCTGGGAGACAAGAGCTCCTCTGAACTGTCTCACAGGGATGTGTCTACTCTTAAAGTTTCTAAAACCAGTAACAAAATGGATATTTGTATTTCTTTTTACTCCTTTTGTTTCTACAGGGAGACTACAGTTGGACAGAGAACAACTTACACTTCAAACCCATCGAACTCATTTCCATCATCTACCAAATTCCTATTTCCTCCTTATTTCTAAAAGCTCAGCTCTGCTGAAGAACACAGCGTGGAATTTGACCTACAAACCCTTCTCGACAGTGATAATATTAAAAAAAAAAAGGAATAAATTGATCTGATGAACACAGTGAAAAACATTGTGGCTTTTTACAGCAAATGCTGCTTCCCGTGGGATGAGAAGGGAGGGTGCTCCTGAAGGGGCTCCTCATCCCCACCAGGGCTGCCTGCTGCCACCTGGTGCTCCAGAACCCCAAAAGTGGGATGGATCCTGCCCTGTCCTCTGTCTCCCCTTCTCCAGACACCTCCCAGCCACATTAAAGGACATTAAAAAATATAAAAGGATACACAAAAGCTGGTTGGTGTTTTCCTAGTCAGGCTGTTTCATACAGCAGCCTGGTTCTGTTTGTGTTACACCCCGTGAAACAGAGCCAAACCCAGAATTTTATGTTAAATTCCAAAAAAAGGAGGATGTTGACAACATGGAATGTGCTTTTCCTTCTTGGCTTTTGTATAAAGATTCCTATGATATCCCCACCCCAAACTGAAAACCACCCAGAATTCAGGTAAGCAGCACTTTGGTGAGAACACAGTGCTGCAAGAAAAGGAAAGGAAAGGAACCCCCAGTTCCCTAAATTTTAAAGAATAACTGTCAGCAATGAAGATCAATATAAATATAAAAGATTAATACTTCACGTTTATATTGTACTTTGCATTTTAAAAGCCCCTGACAACCACGAGGCCCCAAATGGCCAAGGGCCACATTTTCACTCAAATCCATGTGGGTTTGTGGAACAAATATTGGAATATTGATCCTCCAGCAACAGCAGGAATGGTGAATATCACTGCAAAACCATCTTATATAGGCAGGACCATATCCATGAACTGACTGATTATCACAATTGCTCCAAAAAACAACTGCACTCCCCTCTTTAATCAAATCCCATTTATTTTGCCTGGTCTGGCTTCCAGGGTTGGCTTTTTAGGGTGGATTTTTTGGTTGTTTTGGTTTTACTCCAAAGTGGGGTGGCCTTTAAAAATATCTTTGTAGACCAAGGCTCACTCCAGCCCTGAGTATCTGCCAGACAGATACACCAATCTGGATTGTGGAATAAAGAAAAAGACATTCTAGATTTTCAAATAAAGGAAAAGGGAATTCTGATTTATCGTCTTGCAGGGATTCAACACATGAAAAAGTAAAGCTCAGGGAAGAAAATTACAACCTACTGCCCATACGTCTGCATTTAAAACTTTGTATTCTACAAGCTTGCATCTCATATAAAAATACGGCCACCTAAAAGAGAAAATAAAAAAATAAATTTTATTATGTTCTCTTGACCACCAATTTTCTCCTAGTAGGAAAAGAGACTGCTACCTATTTTCCATAAAAAAACCTTTGTAGCAGTCCCAGAGGAAAAGTCAAAAGTTTGACTTGAAAAACGGAGCTACTTCAAAAGCATTGTCAAACAGAGGTGAAGGTTTCTTAAAAATGCATAAATTAAAGTGTGGTGTATTCATAAATATCTCCGTAACTTTACACAGTTTATTCGTAAGCAAGGTGCACATTTAGGGGAGCTACAGAATTGCTGTAAAACTAACTTAAATAAAGTAGAAAATCGATTTGTTTATTAGCTCCTGTTTGGACTCTGTGTGTGTGTGTGTGAAAAATGAAAGAAAAATGGAGAGTTTTTTTCAATAATAAAAAGGGAGTTGCACTGCAGGGCCCCTAAAGCTTGTGAAAAATTAAACTCGACGGATTCAAACTGTCCTATTTCCACTTCAAAAGAGAAGAGGCACTGAGCTCTTCCCAACTTATCTTCAAACGCCCAGCACCCTAGAAAGTTTCTTTAAAAAAAATAAAGTCTCTAGTTCCCCCAAGCACTGTACCCGTTACTGTAGCTGCTGTCTCTCCCTCTTCTAATTATACCCATGTGAGTCTATTAATCAACTTGTAAATTATTTAGAGAGCCATGCGCTGTCTTCAGCCAGTACAAACACACTGCATGCAAAGGCTTGCTGAAAACCAATGGAGCTCCCAAAGGGTCTCTGCAATGTTCAGACAGCTTGCAGCTCGCCAGTACAGCACTCTTAAAAACAAGAAATAACACCGAGCTTACCCCGTCAGATATCAAGATTTACTTGTCCTTTCAACTCCGAAACTCTCGGCGAGTTTTTAACAAAGAGGAGCTGCTCTATTGTCAAATCTGTGTTTCAGGCTCAGTGATGAGAATATTAATTTGATGTAAAAAAAAAAACAAAAAACCAAAAAAACAAGCCAAAACAAACCCACCCCAAACAGAGCAAAGTGTTTTCAGTGAGACTGTGATCACAATCACCAGGGGACCCCAACTTTCAAAAGCACCCCTTTAAAACCACTGCAATTTAAAATAAGGGGAGATCTGTGTTTGTACAAGTAATAGTTTTTATTAGAAAACAGGAGAAATTAGGGAATTCCAGATTTTACCCCCTACGTGCAGACTGCCATTGGGGACAGCTTCAGATATTACAACTTAAAAAAAAAATAGAAAAAGGAAGAGGAAAAAACCAACACAGATTGTGTGTGTTCAGCTCTAACAGGCTGCAAACAGTGCAACGTTCTGTGTGTTCCATGAATCAGTTCTCTTACCTCCTGAATCTTCATTTTGGTGGGAAAAAATCCAATCACCCAACCTAATAGTAGTTCTCCCAGCTGAAAAGCAGAATCATACTGGTTTGGGAGTGTTTTGGTTTTTTTTTTTTCCTTCATGCTGCTTTCCTGTCATCTCACTTTTCTTGGCTCTATTTATTACAGCCTCACAAACAGATATATTAATTAGCAGTGATCACTCCATGCTATTTCACCTCAAAAACTGGACAATGACATGCAGATTCCAACTGACTGATGACCTTCCCTGCCTTTGTGATGCCCCCAAAATGCTTTTGCTTGTCCTTTCATTAACACAATGCAAACACCTCAAGGGGCAAACACCAGGGATATTTAGGTGGGGAAACCAAAAATGCTTTCTGCATTTTTTTTTGTTCTCCCAGGGTATCAAATTCTGACAGACATCTTTAAGGTGATGAACAAAGATCATGCAGATGGAACTTTTAATTAGTGTTTGTCCATGTTTTCAGTGAAACGTGTCCAGCTCTCCTCAGAATTGGAGCAACCTGAGGACAGGAATTCTGTTTGAAGGTCTCCTTCAAGCCTGTGGGGTCTCAGCTGTCCAGGGGAAGGCCAAGTCTATGGAACTGCCTCCTCAGAACACTTCAGAAGGAATCAAACCAAATAAATTAATTTATGGCACTTGTCTCGCTGCCTGTGGGAGGGTTCTGGCCACTGCACTCACCTCTTACTCCATTTCTTCCCAGGCTGCCCAAGCAAATGGTGTGTGCTGAATTTAGCATTATTGACCAAGAGTTAATCTAACTGTGTTAGGGACCAGAAGACTGGCCTTAGACTCCAGTGTTGGTGATTTTCTGCCCGGAGTATAGTTAACAATAACTACCCAGTACTCAGTGAAACCACAACATCCTAAAGGAACAATCTCTGCACTTCAGACTGGTTGTCCAAAGCACAACTCAGGCAGAAACCTGTCAGGTTAGTGAACTTATATTGTAGACTAGAATGTCCTGGGAATTAAAAAATTAATGGGCTCAAAAATATCTATGCTGCCTTCATTAAGTGAAATAAATCACCATATACAAAACATCAGAAAATACAGACAGTGGGAATACTGGGTTGCCTTTTGGGGTGAATAACAGGATTGTCTGGGCTGTTCCTGAAATCCATGAAGCAGGAGTAGAGGAAAAAGAGCACAAGGAATGTGGATGAATCCTAAAGCCATGAAGAGATGTGGGTTAGCCAAGCAGAACTGGAGCAGAACAGGCAGTGGGCAGCCTCAGTAACTCAATAATGAGTCAGGCAGGGCTTTGAGCTCTTACAGACCACAACACGCCCTGTTGGCACATCTTAAATGACTAATTGCATGCAGTCAGTGGTGTCCACAAGAAGGGAAACACACTGAGATCAGTCCCCTGGGGGAGCATTTTAAGAATATATGAGGCATGTCCTCAAGCTTTTATGGCACTGCTTTCATTTTGACAAGTAATGATTGGAGAACAACATTTTTCCTGGTCTGCCTTTGGTTCCCTTGCTCTGTGCCAATGTCACTTGCATGATTCCCCACCCACAGGAAGAGCTAAGCCTCTAAACAGCCAGAAATGCAATGAAAAGGTTGAAGTTCTAATTGCTTTTCCACTTACAACACTCTCTGCTATTGGCTACAGAGTTTTTGCAAGTGAGATTTTCTGCAAACTGACTGCAATCAATCATAGGAGAATCTTTCCCCTGTTTTAACATGGGCTGCAGCAAGAGAGCAAAGATGCAAAGATTCTTTGCCCACCTTTCCTCTTCCTCTGTTATTCCATTTTCTCCAAGCCTCTTGTGAGGGCAGTAATGAATTCTTGTTAGTGTTTACTAATGTAAATTCATTCTTTGTTATCCCTGGGAGAGGAAGATTAGCAAAATGACAGAACTTATTATTTCTGGTTTTGCTGGATGATATTTATCTTTATTCAGCCCTTAATTTTGTGCTGTGTCCCACCAAATAAAATATATATGTGCATATCAGCAAATCTAAGGGAGACTTTTTAGCATAATGCACAGAAATACAGTTATGATCCTTATTAATATTCAGAAGTGTTGTACAGCTTTATCTGTGCATGCTGTATTAAAAAAATTAATCTAAATCTGAAATAATTTCTAATTTGGAGGAAGAAAGGAAATACAACTTCAATTTCATTTTCCTGAAATGAAAGCAGCTCCCTTGGACTAAGGATGTGCATATTTTTAGGACTGGCTAAAAATTATGACCTGTGCAATTATTTTACTCTACTGGGAATGCATCTCCTTTAAGGAACTTTAATAGTTAAGATTAAGTTTATAAAACACACAAAGAACATTTTAGTAAAGGAAGCTCTTAAAGGAGCTATCTTGGAATAAACAGATTATCCAAACTCCCATCTCAGCCACAACTGAAATTTAGAGAGTGAGGTATTTACAGTCCTCCTCTCCATAGAGATGAGCAGACAGTGAAATTACAGCATGCCCATAAGATTCTGAAATTAATGGATACCATGAAAGACAGGCCTAGAGCTTAAAAGGATTGTCATGTGGGAGTTAAAGTGCACTCAAAACCAGCCCCAGTTAGGTCAGGAAGGAATTATTGCCACACCTGGAGACCCTGGATCCCCTGCACACCACACTCTGACATCTCCTCCCTTTGAGTTAAATGCCTGTTCTGGGACCACTAATTCAGAAAATCCTCTCCTAGATCTCTGTGCCCATTCCAGAGGACCCAAATTTTCTCTGTCAGGCTGCAGAGACTCCTGCTGCCCATCCCTAAGCCCCCACAGCAGCTCCCAGCAGTGGGGTGCCTGCCGTGAATGCACTGAGCTGGGGAGTGAATCAAGAATAAATACAATCCATGCACTGGAGATGGAGTTCAGAGATAAAATCCCCGTGCCTTGATAAAGTGCCTGACAGAGGGATGGCACCCCCAAAGCTCCAGGTTGCCAAAGATCTTTTGGAAAGGCCTGGAAAAGTCCTGAATCTCTGGTATCAAGGGAAGCTCAGCTAATTTTAAAGGCTCGTGTTTCAGAATTGTCTAATTCAGCCTCAGAATTAAATTACTGTGAAAAAAAACAAAGGAGATTTTCAAGCTTTTCACCTTGCCAAATACATTTCTTTGCTAAAAATAAAGGACAACAAAGATTTGTCTTGCTCTGGGGGGCTTTGCTCAAAATTCCATTAATACTGAAGTTTAACTGAGATTTCCCCATCTTCAGCACGATTGTCTCCTGGTGTTTGTACCACTGGAAACCATTTGGGTTGTTTCCAGAAACAGCACAGGCAGTTCCTCTTCCAGGCCATTGCAATTTGGCAAAATAAACATTCTTCCACCCTCCTGCAACACCACTTCTCCTCTTTAATTGCAGATATTCTCTGATTTCTAATACCCACCACACAGACAGCAGGACAACTGTAACAGCTGCTGCCCTCAGGAGCTCACAGCATTTATGATTTACCTGAAATCCCTGCAGAAATCCCAGCAAAGTATACCCAACATTCATGTGGCAGTGCCCTCCCACAACCAAAAATGCTGATAGAAATGGAGTAAAAAGAAACTTTAATTTAAAAATATTTACATGAAAGTAGAGGAAACTATGGCAGCATTCTAAAAGTCAACATCCAAATATAAAATGAAACACAAATATTATTGTGCTTTGAAAGCAGTTTGACACAATAGTGTGCTTTAAAAACAGTTTGAGCTGATACCATAATTCTTATTTAGAGATTAAAACATGGAATTCAGATTTCAGAATGTGCACAAGAAATCTGAATTTCACTGGAACAGTGAATTTTTGCTTTATGGATATAAAAAAAAACTTAGAAATCTAACTTGTTATGCAGTGCTACAAATCCCATTAAATAAATGGACTTAATCGACCTCCAGGCTACTCTGAATAGAATCTGACCAACAAAAAAATCACTCACAATTTGGTTTTTGCTACAGATTTGTAACTCCAGTGTAATGAGACAACAACGTGCCCTACCTGGGCATCCACTGTCAATGTAAGGCTTAATGAGTTCTCCAAGTTTTGTGTTGTCTGCAACAGCTTCCTTTAGCAGTTGCCCACAGCAAACTAACAGGAAGGAAGAACAAAAAAGACACAAGGTTAAATTTTAAAAAGGAAGCAACAAAGAAAAGAAAAGAACCCAGAAGCTGCATACTGGAATAAGGTCACTGAATAAAATAAAAGCTGTATGTTTTTTGAGTTTGCTGTTAGGGGTTTTGTCGGGATTTTTTGGCCAAGCAGAGTGAAAAGCAAGGAGATTGAGAATATGGAATGAAAAAAAAAAAAAAGAATATATTTGGCAAAGAACATATTAAAAATGGAGAGAATTATATTAAGCAAATATATTTCTGAAATAACAACTCAAGGGATTGCTAGTGGCTTTCACTTTTTATAAACTTGTAATTACTGGATAAAGTTCCAGCTGCTGAACAGCATCTGAACCACGCTGCTGGAGGTGCAGCATAATGCTCAGCTCAGGAAGGGCCTCCCTGGAACATTTAATGATCATGTAAGGATTACATTTAAAAAACTCTGCTAATGCAATATTATCATTGATTTCAAACACACAGAGAACACCAGGAGATGCAGATTTCAGGTTTGAGCCAGCAGAGCTGTACATGAAATATTCGTGTTTTGGGCTGCCCAGGTGAGGGAGGGAACCAAGACATGGAGAGGTCACACAGCAGCAGAAATCCTGGTTACAACTCCAATTATTTTTGGTAAAAATATTAGCTATAGGTCCCCCTGGAGATTATTCAATTAATAATCCTAAATTGATTCCTTTCTTCCTGGAATCAATAGCACTGACAGGAACTGCCTTTGATGGGAGAATATGGAGCCCTTAAATCAGTTTATTGCTGTTAATCACACTGCCAGCCAAAGCTGGCAGTGCTCCTGGGACAAAGCTGATCAAATTCAATGTTTAAGTGACAATTTGAACAATCACCAGTTGTCCCAGAGAAGCAAATTCATATTCATAATAAATAGTGTAAAAAGCACAACAGATATCAGTGCACAGACCCCAATTTAAGACACCTAATAAGTACACACATAAATTCAATCTAATTCATGAGACTATTTAAATATAGATTTAAATTTTTGAGCTTGAGCTTCAAACCCAATGGCCTAATAGAAATGAAGTGTATGCTGAATATTATTCAGAAAAATGATGGTCTTCCAACTCTGTATTAAATACTTAATTCTTCTAATATTTGGTTTATAGAATACTTAAAATAAAATTCAACATATGGTAAAGCACTGGTAATGATGTTTAATAAAAAGAGCTGCAACTCTCTCATAATGCAGTTACTTTGGAAAAAAAAATGCAAATTTTGACCTAGATGGAACACTATGAAACCTGCAGTTTTAGGAAAAAAAGTTGAGAAAAAATTCAAAAGGACAAGAACAAAATAATTTTTAATATATTCAAGCATGTTTTGTTGTCTTTAAGCCAATTACACAATTACTAAAAATACAGCTTTGAAAAAATCTACAAATATTTTGTTTCTCACATGAGTGTTTAAAATACAGCAATGGCACAATAACTGACAGCAGAAATATTCTATCAAAACTGAATTTTGCTTAACTAAAATGATGTGACTAATCAGCAAATTTTACAGTTACCAGACATTTGTTCAAAACAATTTATGGTTACTCCACTGTTAGAAGAACATGGAAAATATTGCACTGACCACATCAGAAAGCTGCACTTTTATATACAGAACGTTTTCACATTTAATGTTAATCATGAACAAGTCCCATGCAGAACTTTTTGGATTTCCTTTAGAGAAGAAAGGAACTTTAAGTAATTACTTAATTTTCTCACACATTACTTGAGCTGTGCAGAGCCTGAGACCTCGCTAAAGTTCAGAGTAAATTCTGTTTTAAAAGAATTCTGCCCCAATTTTGGTCAGAGAGCTGAAACTGAAATCATTACTCATAATCCACTGATCCACAGAAGAATTCAGAGAACTGCAGGAGTCTAACAATAGAAAAATACAGATGTAAAAGGTATAAAAAATGATGAAATTATGACTAAAAAAAAATCAGAGCTGGTTTGTCACAGCATATATACTTAGTTTACACTTCTTCATTCAAATACTTTTCACTCTCTTCAATAAATTGACATCCACAGCAACGGACAAAGAGAGACATTTTATAAGCAAGTAAGAAAGACAGAAAAATAAATGATCAAAGAGAGAGAAAGGGGGAATTGAGCAAAGTGCATGTTTGCTGAGAACTTACGGTTGATAACATCGTATTTCTGAGCTATCAGTGCTGCCTGCAGGCTCTTCCCACTGCCTGGGGGGCCCAGAAAGAGAATCCGGGGTGTAAAGGGGGCAGCAGATCTGTGCCTGGTTTGGACAAAGGCAAGGACTGCAACAGGGGAGAAAAGCAAAAAATACAGGTTTTAACCCATTGCTTAAAAAAAATATATATAATCATTGATTAACTATTATCTGCTTTAAAGGAAATGTTGGTCATGGTTTATTTTATCATTGAAACATCCATTCTGCACCCAAAATCGTGACACTGACAGAAAACTGTCCTATCAGCAATTTACTCTGAGAGGCATTTTAGAAATCTCACTATCATTACACTCCTCTTTCTTTCATCAGTGCCTGTCAAACCATTTTAAAGAGCAGATTCAATTAATAATTGCTCTCTTGCCATGTTGTTTTTAGCAGAAGTAATTTTTGCTTGATAGCTACAATTTTACCATGCAAATTATAGAAGGCTGTAATTACATTTAATACTTTCTGCAGTTTCTGAACAAATATTTAAGTGTAAAAACTTGAGATGTTAAATTAATGACATTTATCCAGCTGTGTGTGATTAAGACTCCTAATTACAATATTATAGACTTGTAGCACAGTGTGTCATGACACTGCTCAGCCTTGACAACACAGAACTGAGTGTGGATGTTTTATTCTTTTACCCATCCTTTTTTGTGTAACTTGTAAAGAATATTTGAGCTTCTCTGCCTGATTCCACTCATTTGCTGGACACCATTCTCCTAAATTTTGCTTCAAGCAGGAAATAGCACCTTCAGGTCAACCTGCAGGTTTGGAAAGACCAGGGGACATGTGAAGCATCATCAGCATTGCCACATTACAAAGACCTGGACTTTGTTACAATCCCAAAAAACCACCTGAGAGATCACCAGGAAGCCAAAAAATGTCACAGCATTGGCAGTGAGGACAAATTGGGATTGTATTTGGACATAGCTGAGCCCATCTGATGGCTGAGAATGCCACGGAAGGGAGCAGCTCAAGCCATGTAAGTTTTCCAGGCATCAGGCAAATGCCAAAATGAAACTTTTTGGCACTGATCCCATCTGCCATGGCTGGCCATGAGCAAAGCAGCAAGAACACATCTGCACAGGCTCTGATTCCCCTGGGATTGCAGTGGATACAACCAAAGGGGAGCACAGATGAGCTGCAGCCTCTCTCAGTTTCTGTGAGATCTTCAGTTCCAATAAAAGACTCTCTAAAGAGTCTTTGTAATTAAAAAAAAAAAAAAAAATTAGTCTAAGGAATAGGACAAGTTTAAACATGAGTGTTTGTATGAGTCATGAGCTATATTAAAAAAGCAGAAAAGGATTGGTGGGGAACATCCTGAGGATCAGGATTTTAGGGCCATTGTCAACATATTGCTCTGTACCAACAATTTTTCAGGGAACCCTCCCTTAGATGCTTTGGTATGATTAGAAAATCTTTTCTAATAAAGAAGCACCTCCAGCAAATTCAAATTTCTACATAGTAGCCCTAAGTATTGAGAAACTAAAACTGCAGCCACATGGGATTGTCTCCATCTCTTCCTGCAGAGATGGAATCCTGCATTGGGTGTCACTTCCCACATTAGGGCAGCAGCAACTGCATTCAAGTTCACAACATCTTATAATTGTGTGAAAAAAGCCCACAATACTGCTCATATTTATGAGAGATCTCTTCTTTTTTTTTTTTTTTTTTTTTTTTTTTTTAAAAAATGTTAGCTGGGGCAATAAAAATCTAAGCAAAAAACCTGGAAAATCCTACCAGAAAATAGTGTTTGTTGACACCCTGAATATCAGCTACCCAAGCAGTGCTCCAGTTATTCTGAACATTTTCCACAACCCACTGTATTGAAAAGCACAAACATTACAGGCAAAGCACCCTGCTTACAAATGATGCTTAATTTGCAGTAAATAACCAAGTTAATTAGGAGTAATGATCCCCTAGACAGTCTCCACATCTAATTATTCTTAAAAAAAAAATCTGGCTGCTTGATGCACTGCAGAAAAAAGATCTAGAGAGGATTTTTTCATTCCAGTTTTCAATTTATCTCACTACATTATTAATTAATAATAATTAATATTCAGGCACTCACATTTTTATTTACAATTCAAGGCATGAATTCTTTATGAATGATGATATGAACTTTTAAATTTAATTAAGTAATTTAGAGGTAATTAATGTGGAAATTCAGAATATAAACTTCCTACTTGTTTATCTTAAAAGTGCAGCACTTGTTATTAAAAAAAAAAGACCTTTTTGAGATGCAAAATTACTGGGATATAAGAGCTCATCTGCAGACTGACAGCTACAAAGTACATCAACTGGTCTTTCTGGCAGTTTCCTTATTCTCTTCTAGAAGGATCAACATTAAAAGTCAGATTGCATTACAGTCAAGCAAAGGCAAACATGAAGTGATGAACAGGAAAGCTCCCAGCACAAACAGCTTTTAAACAATGAAATGTTCCCAGCTTTGAACTACTCCTCCTTGTTGCTCTCAGACTTTGGGATGTAGTGGCCCTTTGGGAGATGAACAATTGAGCCACAGGGCTCCCTTTTAGAAGAGACACTCACAGAAATGATGGTGACATTTGCTCTACTGAGTCAGCTCCTCCGTGGCAGGACTGAGCTAAGAATTTCCTGTTATCTGCACTTATTCCAGTGAAATAATTACCAGGAACAGCCCAAATGCTGCTCTAGAGAGAGCACAAATCAGCTGGGAGCCATCTGTGCTGCCTAATGCTACAAACTGACTCCACCAGCCAGGAGCCACCCCTCAAACAGGACTTTCTCCACTTGCCCCAAAGCACATATTTACCCTTGGAGAGAACATCCACGGAGGGCTGGTCTGCATTGATGGATTTCAGAACTTTCTGGTAGATGTGGAAAATATCTGGGAAGTTCCTGTGATATTCCAGCAGCTTCTTGGACACCTCCTGCTCAGAGAGATCTTCTGGTTTCACCAACCTCTGCTGCACCAGGGGGTCACTTGGCCAGTCAAAGGTTGTGTGGAAAACCTCTATAGGGAACATGGTTAGGAGCTAAATGCATGATTTAGTTAAGAATGTCCCTCTTAATTCCACTCCTCAAAACATTCAACCTGATTTTTTTATTGAGGAATGTCAGGATTTTATCTCGTGATGGATGATTGATGATAAAATTCAACAGACAATACAGAGCTGAGTCTATTTTACAGTTTATTTAATAGAAATGCTTTTTGTTAACCGAATGGAAATTATTTTATTTAACCTAAATGAATCCTTGCACCTCAGAAATGAAGTAGGACCGAGCAGAGATGCAGAGCAAAAGTATCAACTCATATGGACAGATCTAATCTTTAAATATTCTGTACTGCCATAATCCAATGTTTGCAGCCTCAATACTGAGCTTTTTATTTTCCTGTAATTTATTGGCACTGAAAATAATGTAATGTCAACAAATACCACTTCCAAAAATCTGAAATTTATAATTACAGATTCCTACAAGTTCTTAAATGGTTCCCATTTAAATTTTAACCCCATCAGTAGTACTACAACGTTTCTGAGACCAAGCACACTGCAGTTTGCAGGGGAGGTCAGGAACAAACATACTGCACCTTGTGTGAGGGGATCCAGCCTTTTCCCACCACTCCTCTCAATCAGCACAGTGTCTGGGGCATAGAGCATAACTAGGCAACAAAAAGGAAAAAAGAAGAAAAAATTTAAAAGTGTAGCTCTTGTTAATTATTTGCTTTATTCCCTGTAACTGTTCAGATGTATCCTACTATTAAAGGTAGCTGAATTAATCTCGAGCACATTTGCCTCATTCTTGTTTCCCAGCATTATCCCTGCAAATATTTTACTTCATTTTAATCAGAATTTTGCTTCACCTACTAAACAATACAGTGGGATAAAATACCCATGAATCCAGTACCCATGGGCACTAACTGTCCCCATTATCCAAAAAACATCACCACCAGCAATAAAAATTTGTCTCTGGAGCCTCAGACAGAAGTTCCCACTGAGCACTCAAAACTGATTCTCTTCTACACCACAAACATTACTTTTTACCCAGGTCCTTTGGTGGTGACACCAGTGAAACGGATTTATTTTTTTATAATCTCACAGAAAAGTGTTCAAACTTGATTAGAAAGCATCAAAAGAGGAAGAACCTGTCAGTTCCCTGGGTTGCTTTTGGCTAATCATCTTTGCAGTTAAACACTGTAATTTAATTACTATTTTCAGTGCATTTGATTACAGATTTCAAACAAGTTCTTTTTATGACTTTCTTCTCTGTATTAAATGGCTTTTTCAGGCACTTTTCTCCCTATTAAGGTACTCACACACGGTAAATCTCATCTCCTCTCAATCTTCTTTTTGATTAACTAGACCGGCTGAGCTGTAAGATTCTCATTCAGGTCTTGGTGGCACAGATATAATTGTGAGCAAAACTCAACTTCAAATGTTATTAGGTATATTAAAAATACATGCAAGTACTAGACATTAAACATTTTTGCCTAACTCTACTGCAGTCATTCTGAGTTCTTCATTAACAGTTGAATATCATCCAAATCAAATCTAAAGTGACAATTCAAGTTGGATAAATTCTGTTCACTGTGCACTGGCAAGTTCTGCATTTATCATTTCACACTGCATTCCACACAACTGCAGTATTTTTTTATATTCTAAATAGGTTTTTTAATTTCGGACAAGTGGCTTCTCCTGTATGGCAAGGGCAGCTGTCAAGATCTGCAAACATTCCTCCCAAAACCAGACAGAATCCAGCCCCACTCTGAATGAAAGGTCAAACTTAAAATCATCATGTTTCCACTTCACTTGGTGAAATTCACATTCCCTAATTCAACAGAAGCATAAATTTGTGTTTAGCAAATGAGGAACTGGTTTAGTCTAAGAATAAAAACTGATTTTTAGGGATGGAAGTCAGGAGCAAAGCTACTTGTAGCTGCTCCAAACCACTTGGTGTAGGGTCTGGAATTTACAGAGCTCTGACGTGGAAGGAGAAAAGGCTGTGAAAGACAGGGCTTAAAGTCTCCCAGATTACCTCAGGCTTTCAACCCTACTGAAATATTCTGCTGTCTGGTGACTCTGTCTCCAGCATTGGTATTGAATTTATTCAGGATTTTTTGAGACAAACCCTTCTAGTCTTTCCTCCTGGATGCAATCAATCACACCCAAACCTTGTACTGCTTACCAACATGCCTAGGAAAAATGCCAGATGATTGCAGCATCCATGCCTGCTCCTGGTTTTCAGGAAAGCCTTCCAAAATCCATCCCTATTGAACAAAAACATGAAACAGTTATTGATCCTGGAAGATAAAAAAAAAAACAAAATTCATACTAAATCTCAGTGCTGTTTACACAAAAATTACCTCGTTCTGATCCCTCCACAGCACAGTATTTCTCATGGATGCTTGTGAGAGAAGAAAGCAAACATGGAGCACTGATATTTTAGTGAAATGCATGCATTGATTCCATTGCCACGCAGCAATGGGAACTTACAGATTGTAGCAATGATTTTTTTTCATGTTTCAATCTTAAAAATAAAAACAAACCAGCTTCTATCTCGAATAAAAACAACCCAAAACAATTTCTACAGTTTTGAAATATTCAAAAGGATACCAGCCCACACTGTATATATATATATATATATATAAAGGAGTTAAACAAATCTAAAGACAGATTTAATGCCAAGAATACTAAAGGAAAATATGCATGCTTTCATTATTTTCTTAAATTATACAGGAAAACTCACAGTAATGGAACCAGTGCTCCCAGAGCTAATGAAGCAACAGAGCAAAAGAAAGAAAAAAGAAAAAAGAGCCTTTTGCTCCCTTAAGTCCTTGTTATAGCCAGCTAAGTGTTGGATTGAGCATCTTTAAAAAAACATTTACAGATCTGTGAAATACCGACGGAGAGCTGCAGCCACACTCAGTTTTTGTCTGATGCAGTATTTGAAATCTAATCCACTTCCCAGGCTCACACCTGAACCTCCTGAACTCTCCCTAATTTATCTGTTAGTTGCCTGAGCACACAAGTCCTTGCTGTTCTATCCCACCCCTCAAAATAACTTTGTGATACCGCAGTAAATCTGAGAGCCATCTTCTCTGGGCTGAAATAAAGGAGATATTTTAATATTGCATTAGCTGGCAATCATTATCCTCTCCCATATAAATCTGGTGCTCTGTCAGTTGGGGTCCAAAGGTTCTCCAAGTATTTCAGGGAAATCTATCTCCAGGACTTCTGTGGGAGGGAATGGACCATTCCAATTACACAAGAAAATAGAGCAGACTATTTAAAATTCCTTAATTAGCTTGGTTTCAGGAACATGTCATCCTGCTCACAGATGTAGAAAATACGAGACTCAAGTAACTGCAAGTCATTTTTGCCACTCCCAGTGTTTGCTCTGCCAAATTAGAATGAACCACTGGCTAAGGTCACACAGGTGCTGAGAAATCAATTTATCCCTTGGGATTTGCAGAAGGCAAAGCTGAACAGTGTTTGTAGTGCTATGCCAGGAACTTCAGCACTAGTTTGGAATATACTGTGTACAAAACACACATATATATAGGCCCAGATCTTCTAGGGAGAAATGGCATCTGAGGTCTGATGGCAAATAAATCGATGCCAATTTACACAGACTACAAATCTGGCTTCTTTTCTCCACTCTGAATGCAACATGTTTGGAAACTATAACAAAAAAAAATGAAACAAACAAACAAAAAAACAAACAAACTAAAAACCACCCCACAAAACCTGAAGTCACTACTGCTTATGGCTCAAATCACATAAAGTGCAACAGGCAGTAAAAACAATACTGTAACAATCCACAATCCGTGCTTTTAATAATCCACAACAAACTTCAAGAGGTTTACACACAAATTTCAAAGGCCCTTAAAACAGGCAATAAGCAATTTTATAGCGAAAAGTTTGAGCTATTTAAGAAAACAAAGCTCAATAAATAGCTCCCTGCAGAAAATATATTTTTAAGGCATTAAACAAATGCAAAATCAACACACAATACAAAAAACAGTGAGCATTTTCGAGCTGATTTCCAAAGGTCTCTGAGTTGCAGGGTATCAGTCAATCCCTAATTAGAATATATTATCCATCTACTTGACACTTCAGTGAAATGTCTATTCCAGCACAGAGCTGCAGCTTTGTTCAGAACAGGTTTATTGATATTCTGCTGCATTCCCTCTCCATACCCCCAGTGGCTCGGTTCTGTTTTATCACACATCAAAAAGGCCGTATGCTCAGGGCACCCCATGCACAGCTCGGAGCTGGAGGTCTGAACAGCTGCAAGTAGTGTGGTATCACAGGAGGGACAAGCTCCAAGCAGATGTCACAGATAAAAAAAAAAAAAAAAAAAAAGGAAAAAAAAAAAAAAGTGAAAAGGGAGTGTGGCTTGGGAACAGAACAAGAGGAAGCAAGACACAGAAGAGCAAGACCTGACTTAAAATATGCCTATCATGCTTTATGCAAACACTGGTCTTTTTTTTGCCCTCCTGACTGTCATTAAAGTGTAATTAGTAACTTCACATGGTAAATTTGTTTCTTTAAGAAGCCATTTATTTTTGGTTCTTGGTAGCAGTAACCTTCTATCCAGGCACGGATTGCATCTTATCAGGCCAAGGGTGGAACAAAGGCTAAAAGTGAGAAATTCCATGTGCCTGCACTCTGTGGCCACTGCTCCCTCTCTTCCAGCTGGGAACCTTCCTCCTGTCCCACATGAGCCCTGCAAGCAGAGATTCTGCTGCTGCCTTAATGCCAGGTGAGCTGCTCCTTGGAGACCCAGACCACGCTGAAAAATCAGCAGCAAGGAAGCACTTTCAAAGCCATCACTTTCCTCTCCAGATTCAGGAATCTGGAGAAAATGAAATGCTGAAGGTCATTCCCAAATGTTCATCTTCCTGCTTTGCTGGCAGTTCTCTCAGCTATGATACCAAGCCTACAGACTTTCACACTTTCCACCATAATAATAATAATGACTTGGGTATTCAAGTTCTCTCCTGTTATTTGACCTGTACATCCTCCATTTTTTTTTTTAATTACCAAATCCAAAATTGACACTGCCTTTGAATAAAGAAAAAGAAACAGCAGAAAGAAAGAATGCTGAATTATGTGGCACATCAGAAAAAAAATCTCAGCTAGAAGCACAAAGGTCATGAATACAGCTGGTTTAGGAAAACAAGCAATCACAACAGTTTTTCCACATTATTATTCAGTGTTTTTTGAATAAGTATTACATGGTTTTCATTCCCAAATAAAGAAAGAGGTCAGCAAATAACACACACAACAACAAAACAAACAAACAAACAAAATTTATCAGTAATAGCTTTGCCAATATGGATCTAAAATTCTGGAGATTTTCAGAGCACAGCAGACTGAAGAGTGCAGTAGAAATACTGACAACCCAGCTCTTGCAGCCCATCAACATGAGCAGTATGGATAATTGAAAATGCTCAAACCTTGCCAAATTTCCCATTAGAAAAGAACCTCTTATGCCCCACATGAGTTCTGTCACTGAAGTAAGGTGCAAAGATGTTTTAAAAAGTTCCTTTTTTCTCAGAAAAACAGAAGATGTGGTGAATGGACAGATTCTCTCCCTAGATAAATCTTTGTACCATCACTTTCCTTGCAAGGAGTTTTACAGAGAAAACATTATTACCTTTAGCTACCAAGGTAAAACCAAAACAACCAATCAAGGTAAAACCAAACAGAGCCAATCAAGGTAAAACCAAACAGGACAAATCAGTAAAACCAAACAGGATAAATCAAGGTAAAACCAAACAGGACAAATTGGGTAAAACCAAACAGGACCAATTGGGTAAAACCAAACAGAACCAATCAAGGTAACACCAAACAGACCATTTTTCTCTTTGCCTTCCCTTTCAAGGGCAACCACAAAAAATCACCAATCTCAAGTCATTTTGCCACTCTGTGAATCACTGGTCTAAGCTTAGTTTCTAAAGATCTTAACCCTTCCAGCTCTTCCTCAAACACATCCTGAGCAATCTCTCTGCACTGGCTTTCTCCAGCTCCATGAATTCCCTCCACAACCCCAGCAGTCAGAGGGCTGCAGCCAAGCTGTGCTAACCCTGCAAGATGAAAATTCTGTGTATCAGCCTCACGAGTGCCAGGCTCTAACATAATGTCTGCAATAAGTTTCCTGTGTGTGCTGCAAGACCTCCCCACCTGATCCTGACTAGGTTTGTGTTACAAGAACACATAACACAGGGCCTCAGCAGAGCTGTTGATCAATAAAAATGTTCTCCTTAGAGAATGCCAGTGACATCTATAAACCTGAGAGTGTCAAAACAACGGCACAAAAAATCCTGTATTCCTACTGTCAGTGGGATGAAAGCTGTACAATTAATGCCAAGCCAATGACACCACAAGGAGAAATAAAACAAACAGCTGGTGGTACTGTGGTCCAACATGCTGCTCCTAATCTGTGAACATTTCCAGTGAAAACATGCTGACTCATGTTTTGAAAGAAATGGCATAAATCTAGTCAGTGATGGAAAAACCCTACAGCATTAATTCTGTTTTGAGTTACACACAGAAAATATTATACTTAAAATGCATAGATCCCCTTTCAGAGGAGAAAATATTTTGTGGTCACTTGGTGTGTATCTATCTATTAATGTAAAGATTTTTAATAAGCATCACACCTTTGAAAAACAAATCCTACGTTTTTCCTAAAACCAGTTGAAACCTCAGCTGGGTTGATAACATCCACTCCATTCTTGCTGAATATCAGGGAAGCTTCATAAAGGTTTTTTCCCCTCCTGGTTCTGTAGGACACCCAGTACTGATTCAGTGTTGATGGTGATAACAACAGGAACATAAAATGCAGGCAGGACCCTGCAGCTGTTGGCATTTTAACCACCTTGTCACCTTACTCATACATGACCTAATACTTAAAATAACTCACTGAGGGATCCTTCCCTCATTATTAACAGAAGAACTAAAGCCATGCCAACAATTATAGAAAACACAGGGAAAAAAAAAGATGGAAAATAAGGTGGATACAGCCTGTGGAGAGCGATGGATTTTGCCTGTACACTGACAGTAAACTCACTTTAACAAACACTGGGAAAAGCAGCTACTGAAAACATATTTTAATCAGAGAAAGAGATCTATTTGAAAAAAAATAAGTATTTTTGAGAGGTTTTAGAGCTCTTGTTACAAAAGAACTAAAAATACCACACAAATGAACAAGACAGTATACAACATGGAGTTTTAAGCAGGTTCTCTTGCCAGCTGAAAGGCCTAGATCCTGTGTGGATTTATTACAAATAAAAACATACATTGAGTGCTACCAGATATGTAATCTGGAGTGCTATAATGTGCAACATAAGTAACTATAATGAGTTAAAATGAAGTAAAATAGCTCAGGTGAAAATATCTTCAAGGAAAACCAGACAGACCTATATAATTCAAGCACAGTGAACAGCAATACAAAAGTTAAATTCTACTTTGCAAATTCAACATTAATAGGTCAATTACAGAGTAAAATCTCCAGTGTTTTATGAAGAAAACCTGATACCATTTAGGATTTCTGCAAATCCCTTTACTTTTTCTTTCTAAGGATCAAAAAAATCATTGTTTCATGCTCTCAGATGATGAAACATGGAGGAAGATGCCACAGATTTGAACACAACTAAACCTATTCAGTTGCCTCTTTGTGTAAGCTAAGAGTGAAAATATTAATCATTAGCCAGAAGACAATATATTCAAATGCAGTGTTTCCTAACACAGGAAGAAAAAAGAGACACAACGAGAAATAAATACAACAGAAATTAGTAACATTAAGCCTCCTTTCCTCCCCTTTCCTCAAGAAGAGCCAAAACCTTAACAATATTGATTTCTATCTATTTTCTGTTTATCTTTTTTGTCCACTCCATCTCTGCCAGTTGCCCCAGGCAATCAACAAAGCTCTGCTTGTTCAGCCTTTGATCATCTCCGTGCTGGAAGATTAGCATATGCATACTCTCATCCTCCCCTTTATCCTGTTAATAAAGCTCCAAACTCCCTCTGCTGATGTTCAAGAAAGCAACTGGCTCGGGAGCGCCGATGATTTGCCCCCATTCCCTGCTCTGCACAGGACTTGGAATGCTAAATACCAGGCAGGAGTTGTGTAAGTGCTTATCCAGCTCCTCTGAGGAGCAATTCTTACTTGTTTGATGCAGTCCACGTTTGACAGACGTTCCTGGATCAGATTGGCCCAAAGCGCGTTGGGAATTTTCTAAAGAACAAAAAAGGAAAAAAATAAATAAAAAAAGAAAAGGGCTGAATATTCACAATTGAGTTCAAAAGGAAATTTACCATGCAGACACGTTGTGGTTAAAGGTGAAGTGAAATGTCTTCTTGGAAATAAAGAAATAAATAATTCCGTGCGAGTCCCGGGTCATTAACATGAGTTAATGACAAAGAGTTAATAAGGGCACAAAAATCAGTGTTAAAGGGAAGCTGAGCACAGAGCATGAATATCCATGGGGGTTTTGCACACTGACACACACATTGGACATCAGACCTGCAAAGGGATCCAGGAGAACATCACATCCACAAAGCATCCTTTGAGCCACAAGGGTCTGGCCCTTCACGGCTCCACGTGACAGAGGGCTCAGCATCAGGGCCACAACAGAACCTCAGACACTGAGCAATGTGAGCTTGACTCTCTATTTCCTTAAGTTCCATATCCTGTGGCTTCTGATGTCTTTTTCCTAACCACTTTGAAGGGTATAAATCTAAAAAGGAGTATTTCTGTAAGCTGGGACAGGTACATAGGGCAGGAATCAGATGCTTGTCTGGGTTCAAGATAATATTTTAACATATTTTTTCCAATCACATATTTTTTTCCAATCTACATAGTTTTCCAATCTAATTGCCACTAATTTTTAATAATTAGGCAATTGTCTTTTAATAAGACAATTAATTACATTACTGATCAACTAATCCTGGGGATGCTGGGACTCATGGCATCTGGAAAAAATATTCTTTGGAGCAACTCTTTGAACTTCAATTCATACAAGAAAATCTGGCTGATGATGTGGAACGATTTCATAAAATCATCTTCATTAGATGATGAAACAATTTCCCAAGGAGTGGTGGAAATGGTCCCACAGAAGGCACTTTGAAGGAGGATGGAGAAAGTGCTCCAGAACACAGAGCAGAGCCCAGGTGGCCCAGGCAAGGCAGGCTTTGCTTTTGTTTATCCCTTTTGTCCCCAGCTCTCAGTGCCTCTCCTCACATCAGCCGTGCAGGAGACGGCACTGGAGCAGGTAGCAGAGCAGGAGGGAAGGGAATTGCTGGGTTTGTTGAGAGGCAGCAGGTCCCCAGGGTGCTTTGTCAGAGCCTCCTGCAGCCCCTCGCTGCTGGAATCTGTCACCTTCCAAAGGGGCACCACGCTGCTCCCAGGGCCAGCCAGGCTCTGCCTGCTCCTTTCATGTGTCATGTCAAACCAGGCTGCACGCTGCTGGGGGCTGCTCTGCTGAGCCTTGCCAAACCCATTTAAACCAAATTTATCCTCGTTTCTCTCCGTGCAGTGCTGCTCCTACTCCTGCCTTTGGAGCGGGGTTTGTTGCACAAAAACAACCACGGACACACATTCGGGTATTTCAGTGTTTCAGCTCCTTCTGCTCTCTGTGCCTCAGTCTCAGTCTCATTTCCTGGGCAGTTTTTCCTCCACTGAGCAGTGGCCTACAAAATAATTTTCAATGGGTTGCTTGCAGAATGCCTAATTATTCCACTAGAAATCAGGAGTTCTGGTACATATCAGAATTTAGAATTAATCTCTCATAAACACATAAATATATTGTGAGCCTGGGAGATGGGATTGCACTTCCCAGTGACACACATTTGGTAACAGCCAAACCCCACCTTACCCACAGAGCTGCCACAACATTCAGTGCAGGTAAAGGAAAAACTGCTGTGGGATTTTGCTCATGTTCAGACCACTTTTCTACCCACGCTGGTTTAATCACTATTTCCATATTTGCTGAAAAACTGTACCCACTTATGATTAATTTTAAATATTCCATGTTATTTCAGGAACAGTGTACTTCAATTTCCATTCCTGATCTACTCAATTTTATTGAGTAGAATAAATTGAATGAATTTTTTCATTCCCCTTTCATAAAATTTCCACACTTTTTTTGTAGGGCAGCTTTTTCTGTAGACATTTTTCTTGGAAGTTTTGAATGTATTTGCTCTGATAACAGCTTCATCTAAAAAAAATCTGTCTTCTCTAAATTGGCACCTTGGAGAGAACAGCAACCAAGTTTAGAAACTTACTTTAGGATCCTGAGTATCATGAATGTTTAGATTTAGTTTGTTCAGATAAATACACATAAAAGGCTGGTCTTTTTTGGATACACAAATCTGGAACAGTTTCTTTTTGTTCCTCCAGAGTGGCTCACCCTGGAATAGATTGGAATGCTGGCCATGCATAGTTAAGGATGCCTTGGATTTACTTTTCTCTTTTATTTTATTTATTTTTAAAAAGCACAGGGACGTGACACAACTCTGGAGCAGTTTTAAGTTATTAAGTATTATGCAAACACCTTAACTGCAATTTAGTGTAGCATTAGCAGCACACCCATCCCACGAACCCACAATTACCACAGTTGTTTCAACTTCTTATTTTATCCAGTTAACAGGAAAAGTGAAACATGCAATAGCTCATCATTAGATTTCACTATAGGAAAACCTGAAGACGCTTCCTATTAACATTATAATAACTAGAGATGAGGGAATAATTTGCAATGATTTATCCAAAAATGTAGCCTCTTTTTCTGTTCATGGAATATTTATTGGTAGCTTGTGGTTCTTCAATTTACTGAATATTCAAAAATATTTTACTTCTTTTTGGAGTATTTTTTTACATGCAGAATGATCCCATTTTGCTTTGAACACTCAGTATTTAAAATTCACTACCTGAGCTGTGCTCATTAGTAAGTGGCCAGGTATGTGTGGGTGAATGATTGCTTGTCCAACTTGAAAAATGGAGCTTCAGAGAATAATAATGGATTTTAAAAGTGCCTTCCATGGCTTTCTGTGCCAGGAAAACCCAAATGCTTTAATGGGTGAACACAAAAGAGATGAAAACTTGGCTGAAGATGAGTAGGTAAAATATGTGAACAAACATTTGTAGAATTATTTACCCAGATCCAGTGACATTGGCCAAGTGACCTCAAACTGCCTGCCCGTGGCTCTGGGGTGAGAAACACCATTAAATTGTGCTTATGATCTTCACACCAGACTCTCCAAAACACACAACCTAAGCTCCTGCTTTTCCTCTTCATTTATTAAATTGCTTTGGCCAGGACCACAACTTTTTAATGCCCTTGTTAGATCCAAACTCATGTAAAAGCTCTTGTTCTGCTCCTGAACAGACACTCCAACCTAGAGGAACCCAGGAGCTCCCTCCTAATTCTAGGAAATTACATTCAAATAAACAAACTTGTATAAAACAACAAAATTATTTAGTGAAAACCTCCTCCTAGGGTCTAAAAATCAAATCCAAAGTCAAACCACACAGTGCTGAACCACCAGCAGCCCCTTCTCTGCAGGCCTTCCTCACTACCTGATTAGCCTTGACATTTTTGACTTTCATCTTCCACACCATCCATCTTTTTAAATCAAATAAGCCCAAAAGGACACCCTTGAAAGTGCATCTGTATAGTCTGAAATATGTTAATAATTACAGTAATTAAACCAAAGGGAATTTTTGTTTTAAATTCTCCCCCTCCAAGTATAAATTTATGAACCTATCAAAACAATCTTTAATAATTAGAAGTAAGATTTCAAAGTACATATTCTCAGTAAGAATAATTCTATATCACCCCAGCCAAATGCAAACATTTTTGCCAGTGAGTTCAGGGAGTTCAGTGAACTCTTTCCTCTCAGATCTTGAAGCGTGTTACTTGAAGCATCTCCAAACTTCATTCACTAATCCAATATTTTATTCAGTTTTATAACCACTATTTTAGCCTAATTTTCTAAGGAAAAAACCCTAATCTGTGTATCACACTGTCTGCCATCTCAGCAATTTACAATTGTGTTGGCCAATTCCAATTCCAAATTGGATTTAGCAAGGGTGTAGAATTCCTACAAACAGGAAATTGCTTCAATTTTATATGAAAATGTGTCATAAGTGACAAAAAACCTCAAACTAGTGGACTTGTTAGAGAAAGTCACAAAAAACCAGACTTCTTCCAGTCTATTTCTCATGGAATGCCTTGACACTGGAGAAAGGAATCAGCCAAAAGGCAGGAATCAGATGCTTCTCTGTACTCAAGATAACCTTTCAATGTATTTTTTTCAATATATCACTGATTTTTAATAATAAGGCAATTAATTACATTACTGATCAACTAATCCTGGGAGTCGTGACACCTGGAAAAAACGTTCTTTGAACATCAATTAGGATGCTCACAATAAATGGATTTAAAAATCTGACTGGAGAAACTCAGGTGCACAGAATTGGGGAAAATTCAACAACCTGAGTCAGCTGCTCTTGCCTCAGCTTGAGAGCTTCCAGGGCTGTCAGGAGCTGACTGGATTGTCAAGCTCCTTTTGAGTTAATGCACCAAGTAAGTTATTTGTGTCATGCTACAGAGAAATCAAGCACGCACAACTAAGTAGCACTGTCAGATCAAAAAAAGTTCTTTGTGTACTTATTTTCCAGAGCATTTTGTACCAAAGGAGACCTCAGAGATTAATGCTTATTTTATCGAGATTATCAAACATGCCCAGATAGGAGACACTGTGTTTAGTAATACAATGAACCATTCTCTAGACTGGATTGTGCATTCCTGGATTTTCCCCAGTTTTGCTGCTTGTTCCAAGGTTGGTATTTCCAAGACCTCCTTTACTTTGGATTGTCTCCCCCTCCTGCCCCTGCTCTGTGTCCTGACACACCAATGCACAACACGGAGAGAAGAGAGTCTTTACTCTCATCTGCTCAACTCAGCAGTGGAAATCATGGGAATGCCACAAAATTCCTGTTTTGTGACACAAGAACAACTGTTATTATATTCTCTTACACACCTGGTTTCTTTCTTTATATGCCTTTGCTTCCTCTGTCTGCATTAATACTTCCTTGAATAACAAAGTCTCCTGAGAGACACGTATGGCATTGAAATGTTTACAAAGCCACATTGCCTGAGGGGAGAAAAAAAAAAAATACAGGTTGAAATATTTGGAAAGAAAATGAAGCAATTTTTTTCAGAAGGCTGCAGAAAGGCAGAGCTTTCCTAGCCATACATTTACGTATACAGACATATATAAGCAACTTTAAGTAGTTTCTTATAAAGATGTTCAAGAGTATCCAGCTTTGAATAATAGCTTTTTCATCTCCTGTATGTTAACACAGAATTTAAAGAAGGAAATATTCTTCCTACCATCCCCCACCAGCATCACCTGTTTCTGAGGTTCAAATGCAACACTGACCTTTGCATTTAAGCAGTGCCAGTGGACATGAGACAACTGACCATGCAAATGGAACAATTCACAGCAAGGGAACACCACAAATGTGTAATTAATTTACTTCCCCCAGGCTCATTAGTCCTGCTAAATGCTGGGAAAACAATGCAGGCAGAATTCTGTTGCATTCCAGTAGTTCCACTACTTCAGCAAGTTCTCATAGATCTCACTTGAAAATATCTGTTTAACCTGCAGTGTAACACCCAGGTGTAGCCCTCAGGAATGCCACCCTTTAATCTGTCTTGTGTTCATCTAACACTTGGATAAATCTCAACATTCTTCTCCCAGAATAAAATTCTCCAAAATGCTGAGCTCAGTAGAAAGGAAGAGAGTGAGTGGGAAGTGCTACAACACTGAGGGTAAGGTACTCACAACTGTAGTTTTCCCAGAAGCAGGTGGACCAAGGACACAAATTCTTGGAGCTATGGAAAAAGGATATTCAAATGTCAAGGTGCAGAACAGCAAAAATCCCCTCCAGTTTCCTGCCCTTGTATTGCATAATATCAATGTAGCCACCATGAAACAATTATTTCAGCTGGAAAGATGCCTCAGTGGAGATTTCAGGATTGGGCTCCACTGGGAAAGAAAGGAGGAACAGAAAATCAGTGCCAGCTGGGTCCTCCTTTAATCTCCATGGTCAATGGGATTAACACTCTAACCATGCCACTTGGAGAGATATATGAGATATGTATATCTCAATCCATTTAAACACATGGAGAGTTTAGTGGGTGAACCATAAACATTTCCTTACCTGAGTTCGACTTTTATTCCTGAAACATTGATTCAGAACTAACACATTTTGTGATGAAAGCATACCTCAGTTTTTAATTTCACCTAAATAGGTTGCATCAGGGCTCAGAGAAGATTTAGATACTGCAGAAAGAAGGACTCCCTCACTATGCTTTTTGACAGCTGCTTTCAATTTTTCTAATCACCATGTAAAGTAATTTTCCTCATTTCTGTTTCTTGTGTTTCTCTGCTCACGTCCCTCTCCTTTCCCTGAGTGGGCAAGGTGCAAAAAATGCACCTCAGTTCTGAGGAATCCATAATCCAGTGTACACACACAACACAATAGGCATTACTGTCCCGAGATTCGTTAGGAATGAATTAGAGGTAAGACAAACAGGAGAAAATGGAGCCACTCTTAGGAAAGTATTTGGAACTTTTTCCATTAATACACCTTGGGCTGCAATCCCTTGAATTGTCATTTTATATTAACAGCTCTGATGTTTTTTCCCTCCTATACCACACGGGGAAAAAAAGCCCCAAATCAGAGTCTGTGCAGGAGGGACTGGTTAGTATTTACTGGGAGTAACATAGGTCAGAGCAGAGGGGGGATCCACTCACCCAAAAACCTCCTCAGCTCTCCACAACCAAGGGAGATCGTGTCTGATGGGAACAGACAGGCAAGGATGTGAAATGTATTTTCATGAGGCCTTCCATGCACTTAACAGTTATTGGGCAGGTGCAATTTTTAAACATACATGAAACCCAAATTACAGATTCATCTTTACAAAGTTATCTGACTTGGAAGGTTTAAGAACAACTCCCACCTTATTGGTTCTTGCAAGTGCAACAGAACTAGTACACAATGTAGAAAAATACTTTAAAAGGATACATCAGCTGTTTTTATCACCTAATTTCTTTCAAATGTAATGTGATTAAATCCTAGGGTTTTTTTTTTTAAATCTAACACCTTGAAACTCCAGCCCGGTACTTAGGAATTATTTATAAACAGCGTCATAAAAGAGTGCTTGGGTGCCAACACTAATCAACTTCTTCAAACCACTTCAAAGAAAATCAAAAAACCTTTCCATCCACAGATCCTTTTGAGGTTTAACTAGGAGCATGATTTAAAATTCACAAGAAAGCCCTTAGGTATTGAAGCTTTAATACACAGCTTTCTTGGACAAACGTTTGATAAAAAACGAAACATACCATTATATACACCATCTCATGCTTTAATATTGCCCAGGGCTACTGTAAATGCTCACTTTGTACTAAATCTGGTTTGCTCTCTGCTTAGTGGCTGGCAGCAGATGGGGCAGGGTAATTCACTGATTTACTCATTTGCACACTTGTAGGACTCCTCTAAAGCATCTCCCCAAACATATGACACAGGGGCACAACCAGGACACCACTGGGGGTAATGTTTAACCCCTCCAACCAACAAATAGTCACTATTAAATACTGCAGCTCCAAAGCAGCAGCTAAATGAAGGCAGGAAATTCTGGGAAATGCCTTTTTTTTCAGTAACAAATCATTTTTAATTCTGTATTTAGTCTGGATGACATGCTACAGGATTTACTCATCCAAATAAAGCAAGTTTTAACATTCAAAAATTATTTTAGCAATGACAAAATGAATCCTGGAATAACAAAAAAGAACAGCTGGACTCATAGAGTTTCACTTAAATCCAAAAGATTCTATGATTAATTTTAATACAGCAAAATTTGATTCACTTGTAAGAGGAATCCTTTGTCAAAGAGGAGAAGCAGAGGGTACATACTAAACATTTAGGTAGAACTTTTCTACATTCCTTCACAGGTTTGAGTGTAGAGAAGGAACTCACAGAAATGCCACTCGGACTCTGAAAGCCTTTTTCATTAGCACAAACCAAGATACTCTGTAAAAAAATTGTATCTTTGAATATGAAAGAATTATCAGTCTTTATGTGGCCCTTGAAGGTTTTTAGAAGGAACACATGAAAGAACTATAGCACAGAGCCCTAAGCACAAACACTTTGCCACACATTTGACCTACAAGATTTTTGAGGCAGTTTTAAGTCATAATCACCATTAAACTTGTTTATATTTTTAAAAGTACTTTAGATCCTATTATTAATTAAAAAGGTTTTCTAACTTCACACCTGGGATAGATGCAATGCTTCTTTTCCACACATCTCTGTTTGAAATTTTCTCTAGGGCTAAAACTGTCTAGGCAAGGCAAGATCATGAAAATTCATCACTTTACTGATGGTTCTAATAAGGTTTTTTTTTCTTCTTAATAGTCAGCACCTTCCGCCATGATCAAAAAGTAAAATCAACTCTGCTACACATTTCTGTTACATTATTTTCCACATAATTTATTCTTAAAACTACATTTAGGCTTTAATTTTAATTGGATTTCCTCACCTTCCTTAACAGGGTTTTCCAGACCAAAAGCTGACAGCATTTTCAAACAACTGCTGTAATTCTGTAATTTGACAAACAACTGCTGTAGTTCTGTCTTTAGCCTCTAAGTACTGAAGTCATGAGATGGAAACCTGCCTAATTCTGTTAAAATAATATTGTGGGGCTTCAGGACAAATGTTAGCCCAATGTGAAGAAATTTCATCAGCATTCTATCAAACTGCAGGAAATTCTTCCACATATTTTCCATGGCTCTACAAACCAGATTGATTATTCATGCTGACTGCACCAGAAAAGGCTGGGCACAATTTGCTGGATTTATTTTTTTTTTTCTTGAATGTATTTAACAGCATTTCAATCAACATCCATCTGATCAGCACCTCCAGTGATGGTTTCATTGATGCTGCAGCAGAACTTTCATAATGGTTTACTCTGGTTTTAAAGAAACATCAAAGCTCCGTGACACCAGCTCTCCCTGACAGCTCACGCAGAACAAAAATTACAGTTCAGCTGTGCATATCCAAATATAATCTGCCTAAGGGTGAACAGTTTGTAAATAAAATAATTTGATTGAGGGTACATGCTTTTATTGTGCAGAATACAGACTTCCCATTCAATTTAGCAGGTTTTGTTCCACAGAGGAGCACTGCTCACTGTTCCTTCAGCTGAGATGCCACTGAGCTGTGGAACTCATTAACAGCAGCGAGTAACAAACTAATCAAAAAGCAGAGAATCTGCCAGCCCAGGTAGAATAGGAACCCAAATTTACACCTGACAAAAGGAGTAATTAGCGAGCTTAAAGACAACAGGAAATATCAGATGGGGCACAGAAGGCATTAATAATTGATACACCAGAACTCTTTGTTATTCCCTTAGAGGGTTTCGTTGTTATAACTGTTAAAGTGCATTTCTTATTAGATTACCCACTAAAAAAAGAAATTAAAAGCATCTTGCCTATAACTATTCCAAAATGCTCACCATTTTTTTTGTTTCCCCCCTCCCCAAGACTCAGCCTGAAAAGTTTGATCCATCACCTGCCAACGCAGCACAGCTCCCAACAGCTGTTTACAAATCAGCAACTGAACTATTTCTGCTGTCTCCATTTTCACTTACCATCATCGTTGTTTTGCTTTAAGTGGTTTATCATGAACTCAATGGGGTCATCTGGCTTATGAATTAATAGCTCTTCAAGCATGTTCTGGAAATAAATAGGACAAAGTCAGAGGAAAATTTAACGCAGCTCTGCAGTCGTGATATCTTGCATTTTTACAGCAGTGTTACAATTAGGATCCTAAACAGCTTATAAATGCTTATTTATTTCCTTTCACAGACAAAATTGAGACTTCAGACCTATTTTAGATGCTGAAAAACTGAAGATGGTCAGAAAATTGCCAGAAAAAAAAAAAAAAACAACCTATTTGCTTCAGCTTATTTGTGGCACATATGGACACCAGAAAGGTTTGGCTCAAGCAGCCTGGGGTCAAAAATGGTTGAGGCAAAACTGATATAAAACCATACAATGAGCTTGAAAACCAGAGTTAACTTGAATTTGTGTCTCTGCAGGGCAAGATGAGCCTTCTCTGGCACATTCCCACAAGTTTCTGACTGGCCCAGAGGAGTGGAGAACGGGCAAGAGCTGTGAAAAACATAACCCACAGAAATGGCACATTTCACACCTGTACCAGCCTTGGCTCCTGCATGAAAAGGAGCGGGGAGAAGGGGGGGAAAATAAAAACAAAAAAAGGCTTAACGCCTTGCTTTGAATGTCTGTTTTGGAGCCCATTCTCATGTTGAACCCTTGAGGTTATACAGGGCCTTGTTTCAGCTCCCACCCACAGCAGCTGGGATCTTGCACTGGGATCTTGCACTGGGATCTTGCACTGGTTTCAGGGAGGATTTGGGCTTTGCAGGCAGAAAAAAGAACAACCCTGAGAAATCCATACATTTCCTAGGAAGACATTTCAGCCCAGCCACGAGTCCTGTAATTAAAACTAAACATCAAACAGAACTAATGCTCTAATTTAGACAAGCTGCAGAAATGCTCACGCTGGAAGAGGCATTTCTAAACAGCAGTCATAACACTTTTATACTGGCAAGTAAATTCCATAAAGTCCATCCAGTCCATAAAAATTTATATCCTCACCAACGGATTGTCTCCTATTAGAGTGGCCTATTTTCCTTTTCTACTTCATTAGAATAATTAAAACACTCAATTTTGTTTATAAACTGGTGTTCGTGCAAGTTCTGATGCATCAAGGTCTGGGTAACAAAGAGCATAAAAGATGAAATTTGTATTTTTATTGGAAGTCCATTTAGAAATTATTAATTTCCAGCAACATTTATTTAAACTAAACAATCTGGTCTCCGCATTACACTTACCAGCACCTTTATAAATAACAAAACAAAGAAAATCTGGGTTTATTATAATTTAAAAATAATCAGGGTGACAGTGATTGACACTGGCACTGTTTCTTGCCCAAACCCTTTTATTGATCCAATTCTGCTAAACTCAGTTTAATTTCACGTGAGTTGTTCTGTTAATCTCTGGGGGAAGGGTTATATTTTGGGTCTCATGTAGTTTTTACATTTTGTGTTTTGTATATGTTTTAGCACAACAATTTCAAGCTGTGTTTGTGTCATTATTTTGCTCCAACGCAACTAAAGCACAAAAATACCACACTGAGTAAATCCCACAAACATTTTATGTAATATGAGTCCCTACAGACTGCAGTCAATGCCTCGTGGCTTGCAAAACACAGTACTTTATTTGAAAAAAACAAAACAAAACACAAATATTATGCCAGACAAGTCATAATAAACAGAGAAAAAAAACATGACAGCACAAAGAAAAACTAGGAAAGAAATAAACATGTGTGCACATTTGAGTGAGCTCTGAGCAAGTAAAACCGAGTTTTTAACAGAGTTAAGAGCAGCACACAGGGAAGGCTCTCCGGCAAGTTCTCCTATCAGAACAGCACCAGGATATTTGGCCATTCACACAAACCGCCCCATGCAGGACACGGGGTTTTTTCCCGAACTCCAGAACAAAACCCACCCTCCCCTAAAGCGGGGAACCAGCCTTGCCAGGCACCGAGACCACAACGACGCCACAAGTGCACTTTTCTCGCTTTATTTCGGACATCTCGGCGAAAAGGCACAACAGGACCGCAGGGGGAAGGGCTTTAACCGGGGCATGAGCAGCAGGCGGTGACACCCACGGCAAAACCTTCACCGCGTCCTTCCCGCCCCCAATTTATCCCTGTCCCCCCTTCCTCCTCCTCCTCCTCCTCTCCTCGTCCTGCCTCGCCTTCCAGCGACTCCTTCCTTCCAAGGGCTGAGACATTCTTCCGCAAATCAAACCACACGGATGCGCCGCAGCAACTGCCGATTGAAACAATCAATTGGGAGAGCCCGCACACGGACACCCGCACATCACCTTCCACACCAGCCCGCCCCGCTGCCTCTCCCCGCCTCCCCGCGGCGCGGAGGGGCCGGCGGGGTCTCCCCGTTCACCTGCAGCAGCTGGAAGAGCCCCCGCTCCTCCGCGTAGATGCCCGCGGGCGGCGGCGGCGGCGGGGCCGCGTCCTCCTCCTCCGCCTCCGCCATGGCCGCCCCTAGCAACGCAACGCGTTGCTAAGGAGACGTCATCACCGCGCGACGGCGTGGCCAGCGCCTCGTGTACCGCGCCGGGAATGGGAACGTCATCGACCCGCGACCGTTGCCATGGAGACGGCGGCGGGGCCGAGGCCTGCGGCCTGCGCTGTCCGCCCGCCCGCCCCGCTCATCCCGCTCATCCCGGCCCCTCCCGGAGAGCTCCGCACCGCCGGTACGAGCCGCAGGGCTCGCCATGGCGGCAGCGAGGCTGCGGGGGCCGAGCGAGGCCGCCCCGAGAGCTTCGGGTCTTTCCGCAGGGAATCCGCTCCGTGAGAGGGGCGGGCTCGCCCCGGCTCCCGGCAGAGTTCGGAAGGCGCCGGGGCGGTGTTTCTGCAGCCCTGAGAGACGCCCCGGTCGCCCCGGCCCCGCGGTGGAGGCACTGCCCCGTTCCCTTTGCAGCATCCCCCGCTGGGATTATGACATCGCATTGCCAGCGCTCCCCTCGGCCCCTTGGCATCACCGACACACCGACTGACTGCCTGGGGCTCCGGGGATGCAGGGCTTCCACACAACAGAGCTCCCTTTTTAATTTTTCTTTTTTTTTTTTTTTCTTTTTTTGGTATGTTTTCCACTAACCCACACAATTCCAGCTCAGGCGAGATGTAGAATTGCAGCATTTCTAAAAAGCAGCTTCCTTTCTCTCCTTTAGACCCCAAACCCAGCAATAAGGAAACATGGTAAACATGAACGAGGTGGTGGAGGCCCTGAGGAAGATCGAGGAGAAATACAAGCTTTTCCAGCAGCAGCAGTTCACCTTTATCAGAGCACTGGAGCGCACCCGGGAGGAAGCCCACGATTTGATCAGACCTGTGTCATCCATTGTCCAGGTACAAATCCCTCAGCACAAAGTGCTCCCTGCCCGTGACACCGGGGCTGGCTCCTGGGGCACTGCAGGCCTGGGGAAATGGTTTTGCTGAAGGGAAGGGGGACACAAAGTCCCCAGGAAGGTTTGTGGGTCACTGAAGGGCTGGGGAGAGAAACACCTGTGTGGGAGCCTCCTGTTATCCCTGAAAGAATCTCGTGGCTGGGCAGCACTTTCTGCTTTAGCTGAACACTGCTGAGGCCCAGCCAGAAACGCAGGCTGCAAGGAAACAATCAAACCAAGCCTCTTTCCCCAGCCACACATGGAATCTGTAATCCTCAGCTCGGAGTAAGCAGCATTCCTGCCTCTTCCCCCTGGTATTGGTGCTGCTGTGTCTTTCTATAGTGCTTATTAAAAATAATGGCTGTGTTACACAGGGAGGGCTGAGAGTCCCACGTGGGCGAGGGGTTTGCTGGGCTGCTAAGTGAATTGTCTTGGAATTTTTATAGCATGGTGTACTGAAAAGTAGAACTTGGACCACCTGGAGACTGAGGGGAAAGAAAAAATCTAAATAAGATCAGAATTGCGGATTTGAGAGAGCAGAACTCGAGCCCAAAACCCAGATGGATGCCAAAGGCAGAGTGAAAGCCAGGCTGCTGTCAGGATTAGGACACACAATGAGCTGGTTGTCTTTTCCAAGGGCTGCCTCTCCCTAACAGAAGGGCTTTGCTCATTGCCTTGCAGAGGATTGTGACAGACACTGCAGTGAGCCATTTCATCCCACTGAGACGTTCCCATTCTGCTGGTTTCAGAAGCACTGCTATTTCCCCCTGTGCAGGTGCAGTGCTACAAGGACCACCACTGCTACAACTCCACAGACAGGCGCATCCTCAACATGTTCATCTCCATCTGCAACGAGCTCCGCTGCCTCTGCCAGAGGATGGAAACGGTGCACCCAGGGGACAGCGTCACCAACGGCCTTTTGGAGAAGTGCAAAGTGCTCCTTAACGACAGCAACGACCTCAGTGCCCTTCGAGCCACGTAGGTGCCAGCCCAGCCCAGCCCAGCCCAGCCCAGCCCAGCCCCTGGCATTTGACTGTCGCTGCTGGGGTTGGCACTGCACATCCCCCCTGGCTTCTCCAGTTCTGTCACAGCCCCTTCCTGGCAGTGCTGAGGGTACAAGGTGCTGCCCAGCGTGCTGTGGCAGCTCTTGGGAACACTGCCAGTGTACCTCCAGAAAAAGAGTGCTGCTTTGTTTGTCCATCCTTTCTCTGGGCCGTGGCAGGGCAGGTGAGCGCCCTGAGGTCCGTGCAGTGCTCAGGCAGGTTCCCTGCTCCTTCCTCCTGCTGCTCCTCTGCACTGAGCTCATTTCTGCAGGGCAAGTGTCTGTGGGTCTTCTCCAAGACTCCAGATCTGTGCCAGGGTGGTTTTTGGCACCCAGTCCATGTACAATTCTATCCATGCTTTTCCCTTTTTGGGCAGTAGCTGTCTGTGCACTCCTGCTCTTCCTTGGGCTCCTCTGCCAATCATTTCCCTCTGTCCCACAGCTACCCCCACCCCGTTGTGAACTACCTGAGCTTGGAAGAAGCAAGGCATCGCTATGGAGGGGTGGTGAGCATCCTGCCCATCGTTATAGACAACATGAAGGAATGGGTCACCTACTCCAAGAGGCATCTGCTCCCTAATGTGAGTGGAGCACATGCCGTGGCCAAGGAGGAGACTCCCCCTTCCAAAAGAGCACCTGCTGGGCTCTCTGCAGCTCAGACCTCCAACAGTAACAAAAATACTGTACAATTGCAGGACAGACAATGCCAGATGTGCAAGTATGAAGACCCACGTTTGGGAAAGAAAGCTCCCTGGAGGCCACCAGGCAAACACCCCTATTAAAAGATCAAAGCTCCTGCATCATCTGCTCACCACCTTTAAGCACCTGGCTGATCAAATACAGTGCAATGAACACTAGAGATCCATCCTGACTCCTCTTACTGAAGTGTTGCCCTGCAGCCAGCCCGGGACATGTGCATTCACTCTCCCTTGCTGATATTGCCACTCTGCTCCTCACATCCCCACAGAAGCAGCTGCTGGGTCACTGGGGCCAGCACTGCAGTGGGAGCAGAGATCAGTCAGGACTCACCAGGTTCTAATCTCTCACACATGAATCTTGGACAAGCCATTTGAAACAAGATTTCACATTTTCTCAGCCTTTTTTCAGAGGAACACCCCCTCCCTGCCACACAAGCTGCCTGTCTGAGGGATGGGCTGCAGAGCAGCAAAGGCCTGGCATTACAGAGTCAGACATGTCTGTGACATTCAGACTTGTCTCTAAGACTCCCTCCCCCCAAACAGAAATAGTTTGGTTAGCTGGAGCACAGGATCCCTGTTTACAGCAGGACACTAAGGAGGTTTCCCATACCTGACACTGTGTCCTTCAGCTGCTCTGCTGCAGCCTCCTGCAGCCCCTCACGGCACAGAACATCTCCCCTCAGCCCTGTTGACTCCTGTGCTGTCAGAGCTGGAAATGTAAAGGAGAGCAGAGTTCATTTTGCCCTTAGTGTACTGACAACAGCCAAACAAAACACCCCTGTGCTCCTCAGACTTCCACAAAATAAAAGCCACTTCCAGGCCATGTGATCCATGGGAATGTGGTGGGAGCATCATGCTCAGATGGCTCCTGTTCAGATTGCAGATTAAACTGCCTGTGCTTTCCCTGCTTCAAGGCAAGGTTAGAATTACATTAGACCAGATTTCCCACCTAAGGGGCTGGTCCACAATGGCCCTGGGGCTCAAAATATGGAGCATGAGACCTCAGACCCTACAGCCTTTTTTAAATAAGTGTCCTCCCCATGTCTGACTGCTCTTGTCCCCTCCCACAGGCAAATTCCCTCCTGCTGGAAGACACTCCTGAACAAACAATTTCCCCTTGCATACTAAGCTCAGTTTGCTGTGACAAAGCTCTTGCCATAAAATCACCATGTTTTGGTAACAAGCATCAAAAAACAGAAGGAAGAATTAATACAGAGGAGGGGTCACAGGAAGGAATGACAGCTTAGATGAAATGGAAAGTATTTCCAGGAGCATTTTTATTCCTCACAGAACCCCACGTTGATTTGCACTTTTTTCCTTTTCCCCTATTCACTTGCACTGCAATGCACCCACCCAGTCTGGAGCAGAGCCCTATTTTTAGGGAGATTTGATCCAACTGAACTGAACCTTAGTGAACTCAAAATGGTAACAGGGTCACAGAGACTCCTGGGCACTACTGGGGCCACAGCCAGTGGAATGTCACTGCCACCTTCCCTGGCTTCACTTGAGATCCCTGGTGCAGAGGCAGCTTCAGGCTGAAAAATCCAAGTTGTGGCAGCTGCCCTGGTGTGTTCCATGGTGCAGACAAGTGTCCAGTGACAGTTGCTGTCTTGGAAATGTTTTCAGGACAAGCTGCTAAGACTGAATGATGACAAGTGCTGGGGACACAAGAGATGCTATTCCCAGATCTTGTTTCCAACCTTCTTGGCCCTGTCCTACGGTTTAAATTTGAACACACAGGCTGTGAGGAGACCAAAATTATTCTCCAGTTTGTAGCTCACTTTCAGCTTCCAGGGATGTCAGAACAGTCCTAACAAAGCCAGTCCACCACTGCTGCTCAAAACTCCAGTGCAGTTGTCATTTTGCACTTGACCAGGGTGATACACACAAAAAAGTTCCCAAATTTTACTAATAAGATTCATACATGCAATTAACAGTTCCTAAATCTTAATAATAATTTCTAGCCTAGCCCTATCCTTTCAGTCAGTGTCATGCAGTCAAAATTTTAAGACCCAAGCAGAAAAATGAGTGCATAAAACTTGCAGTCTGAGGTTTGATAATGACAAGACCAGAATCTGTTGGAAGACTGCAAAGTTAAGTCTCACAAAAACATCCAGACAAATTACTTAATTTCCATACAAGTTCTCCTCTTCTAGAGTGGATGGACACTTCAAAGGACAAAAAGATACAGCAAGAATTGTTTTCCTCTACTACAAATCAAGCTGTTTGAAGAATTTACATAAACAGGATGTAAATGCCAAACACAAAAGTGCAATAAAGTTTTACTTTAGCCTCAGTGAGCATAAAATTGCAAGATACACACTGAGAAACCAGGCAGGGCACCAGCCTGACTTTCCTACAGATCTGTCAGTTAGTCCAGGAAATAAATGCTGCTTTTTTGTTCAAAGGCTGAAATAGACACACGGGGTGGCAATAGATGATATCAACAGAATCCTGGCCTCTTATGAATTATCTCTGTGCTCCCCTTGATTCAGCTAAGGGTCAAATCAGGCTTTTGTCAAATTGAGGAACCTGATGTAGCTGAAGGTGTTCCCACTCGCTGCAGGGGGTTGGACTGAATGAGCTTTAAATGCCCCTTCCAACCTGCACAATGATGTGAAAAACCATTCTGTATGTTCAATACGTGGTTCCAGCCTCTCACACACCGAGAGGACAGGACATAGCCCAGACCCCGAGAAGTTAAGACGAAGTGTCAGGAATGGCGGTGGGCTCTGGGGGGATCCAGAAGGGTCGATTCCAGGGAGAGCAAGCTCAGCATCCCAGAGATGCCGGGAATGCGAAGGGAGAAGGGATGGGCTTGGCAGGGCCTCTAGCGGCCGCCTCCTGGCAGTGTCCAAACCTCCCAGCAGCAACTTTTAAACAGCTCCAACATCCCCTCTGTCCCCCAGCCCTGAACCCACAGGGCTTTTTTAACATTGGTCACAGGTATCCAACCCCTGGGACACAGCCCAGGGCAGCTGTGGGGCCGCCCCATCCCCAGAGCTGTAATTTCAGAAGAGCCAGCGGCTGTTCTCTGTCACCACCACCCTGTTCCCCACACCATAAACACCTCGAGGCAGGATAGGTTTTCCTGGCAGTCCTGAATTCCCCTGGTGCTGGTGCAGCAGCAGTTTGAGCTTTCAGTCAGATGAGCATCAAGCACCACGAGCAGAAGCAGCTTCACAGAAACAAGGAATAGCATCTGGCAGACATGGACTGGACTGAAAAGACCTTCAGGGAAAAAAAAACAAAAAACAAAGTGCCAAGTAAAGCCCACAGACACCAAAATCATGATACTATAAGTCAACTTTTTGAAGTCTTGTCTGGAAAGCAAAGCCCATGGGAATGCAAACCAGGCTTCCTTTGCAGAGCTCCTGAGTATGAACAGATTAAGCAACTCAACTCCTGTGATTTCCTATTTTGTAACCACTTTTAAAATCCACTGTTTTGCCAGCAGCTAAGAAGTTCCAACGAATCAAGATCAGCACAGATATTTTAATTTCCTGAATTTGAAGTATTTCCTTCCCTAATGTCTCCTGTGTGATTATCAGCTATGTTATGAACTGCCAAATGTACTGCTTGGCATTAGTAAGGAAGGAAGGCACTTCATTTTCCCCTTTTTTACCCCAGTAATACACTTCCATGGGTAATTTTTATCTAATGATTTTTTTTTTTTACACTGGCAAATGCAGCTTTGCAAAGCCAGGCTTAAGGGGTGCCTTATTTTGAACCCATCCTGTGTAAGAGCAAGTTAAATTCACTTTGTGATTTGTTTTCATTTTACTACCCCATACTGTAGAACTAATCCCAGTGCAGGAGTTCAAACAACTTTCTGTGTCACTGAACCCTAAGATCATATTTATGGTATTTTCTATATGAAATTCTCCATAAACATTACTTGGCCAAAGCATTTTCACAATGTGTCACTTGCACAACTTAGACCCTTGCCTTTGTTGCTCATATTTAAGAATTATACTTAGCCCTTAATGGGAATGCTGAGGCTTGTGTATGGATTACTAAACTGCTTTGAGCAATCTTCTAAATATTAATTTATTTCTAGAAGAGAAGAAAAAAAAAAAAAAAACACAAACAAAACCAATGAAAGACCAGAACCAGTGAGAAAGTGCCAGTCTGGGTGAAAAGCAAAACAAGAGAACAATCTTACCTCACTAGAACAAAGTGGCCCCAAAATTCCTCATGGTCTGAGGAAATGTTCTCGTGTATGCTCTGCATGGAAGGGAAAAGCACAGACAGAGCCAACTCCTGACAGCAGCCTCAGCTTTGCAAACAAGGCTCTGACATTTCCAGCTATTAATTTCTCTAATCACTATGCAATTCTGGCCTGCAGGAGCAAGGCCATGCAGAAGCTCACCCGCAGACTTGCAGCACTGAACTGTTTGCAGTTCATTTATGGATTATAGTGGCACATTCTTGGTGAGTTTGTTTGTCACAGAAGAAAAAAAGGCTTTGGCTCCATGCAGAAAAATGAACTTCTCATGGTGAATCCTGTGCAAAGGGGCAGCAGCCCTGACCTGCTCTGGACTGTCCCATCTGGGAGGATGTTTGGACACTGAACTCCCTTCCATGTGTTTGGTCCCAAGAAGGTCTGGCAGGGAATTTAACACAGAGTAGTGCAAAACAATACATTTTATTTGTTCACAGTTAAACACAAGCAACTGCCTTGACATTTTAGAACATTCTAATAAGGACAGCAAAACCTCCTTTTGGTTTAAATTCTCTTTAGCTTACGATTGTACCATTTCCTTGTATTTCATATTTATGGCATTTAATGTGGATTGTTTAACATGCTTACAAAGAGCGAGGCAGGGAACAGATTAACTTGACAAAGACAGCAATTTTAGATTTAACTAAAAGCAGTCAGTTAAAAAAATCTGTTTCCACTTCACTGATGGGACCCCTTCAAACAAACTGCAAGTTAACTACATACAGCAGATCCATGATTTTTAGACTTAGGAAAGAAAATTGCAAAATTTGTTCCTCCATAATCTTTGTGGTCCATAAACAAACCTAAAGTGGTTTCCATTACTATCCTGGTGCTAAAATCCTGTTTAAAAGAAGAAAAAAAAGCCACCTTATCAAAGAGCTTGCGTTGCTGCCAGGGCATTTTTGTGACTGACACAAAACCTGCCTCTCCTGGG